CTCCCCTCAGACGGCCCGCGATCGCCACAGTCGGTCCCGCCGCTGTGGCGGGGCCCCTCCCCTCAGACGGCCCGCGATCGCCGCGGTCGGTCCCGCCGCTGTGGCGGCCCCCTCCCCTCAGACGGCCAGCATGGGTCCTCCGTTCCGGCTGCGCCCCACCACCGAGCCAGCGGGAAGGGGGACCTGGCTAGCGCCCCCGGCGCTGACCTTGAGTGGCGAGGGGCAGCGGGCGCGCTCCGGCGGCCGGGTGGTGTTTTTTTGTGGGCATGGGGCGGCCGTGAGTCTCGTGCGCCTGCGCCGAGCGCCGTGCCAGTCCGGTGGGGACGCCCAGCTAAGGCGGTGGCGGGCATGAAGGTCACGCAACACAGTTTATGCTATTGGACCCCATTTTTAGATAGATCGGGCTTGCCATACAAGCTTTTTGACCCTAATTTCTGCGAGGAGAAAGTTGCGATTAAAAATATTTTTTCAGCCCACAGCATGTCCAGGGCAGCGCACACCTTACCATGTGAACTACAGTGATCTATCTGTTTGTTGAAAATCTGTTTGTGGTTGGAGCTGTAACAAACAGGAACGGTGCAAAAGTGGTTGCCCCAGCTATCCATCATTGCGCCTATGATGCTGTCTGTATCGTCCGGTTAACTCGCCCACTCTCAGCACGGCGCCTGAAAAATCATATTTTGACACCCGATGTAGTGGGAAAGTGCCAGATGCGCAGCTGGGAGCCTATGGTAACCGTAAAAACTCATCTGCTGCCTCTATGAAACAAGTTTATCTATCTATCTATCTATCTATCTATCTATCTATCTATCTATCTATCTATCTATCTATCTATCTATCTATATATATATATATATATATATATATATATATATATATGTATATAGTATTAATTATTTTATAGAATGTTGAGTGGCATGTGTCAGAGATGCGACAATCGGGTCCCATACAGCCACTATTAGCGAATTAGATGTGACGTGTGAACCCGGCCCCTCCCGACTTGTGGGAACATTGTATGAAGTCACGTGGTATGGAAACAATGGAAGACATTGCAATCGGAAAATCTCTCGAGGCTTGGGACGCATACTCGGGGTGGTACGCACGCGATGCATGCCTCTGCGTTCCGTATCTGTGAGGACCCGTTCGCATCTGATGCACCGCAGCGCGGCAATGGCGTGTCACGGGCACGGGTAGGGGGTGAGAGACTGTGGGCCGCCTGCTGGGGTGCCAGCTTCGTTGGTCACCGCGGAGCTAGTCGACCCACCGGTTAGCCGGATGTACTAATGTGCGATGGTGGTTGTGCACAGCGGCCAGGCAAGCGCACTGCCGCACTCCAGCCGGCGTTCGCCGCCGTATCGCGCATGCGTCCCGGATGACACGGCCCGAGCACGCCCTGCGTGCCGGCCGGCCGTGCTGGCGCGCTGGTGACCGATCACCTCCTGCCGAGACTGCCGGGCACTCGTGACTGGCTGGGGCAGGGTTCGGTGTTTACGCCCCGGCTAGGGGTCGGCGGACGGGCCCGGCGCGACCTGCTGCATGCTAGCGGAGCGCCTGGGCTCGGTATGTAGCCGCAGCGGCCCGGCGCCAGTGGCGCGGGCACATGTCTGCGGGCGCTCTGGGTCAGATCGGCGTGGGACGCGGTTGGGGCGCCGTCGGCGAGACGCGGGTGACGCGTGCGGGCCGCACGGAGGTGACGTGGTCCGGCCGGCCTGTTTACGGGCGCGTGCCTCGGCCCCAGCCCGGCCGTTCGGCGCGGCCCGGCCGCCACCTCTCGGGTCAGGCGGGGACGTCCACGCCTCAGCGGCCGTCTGCCGGAGGCCGTCAGCGCCGGTCCGCTCAGGCGGCGCCATCGATTGGCTGAGCCCACGCCCGCCGGTCGGCCCGCCTTCCTGCCGCCAGACGTCGCTGCCGCCGGCAGTCGAAGCGCGCCGCTGGCCGCGCGGCCATGCGACAGCCGTTCGGGCCGGTGCTGTGCCGCAGCTGCGGTGCCGCCGAGCACTGGGTGCCGCGCCGCATGCGCTGCGCGACGCTGTACCGCTCGCAGCGGCGCCTGTTGCTGGCGCGCTGGCACCAGTGTGACTTGGCCGTGACGAGTCCGCGCGTCGGCCCTTCTGCCCGACCGGCTGACGGCGGTCTGCTGGCATCGGTGCTGGTGACGGCACTGATACTGGTGGTGTGCTGCACCAACCTACTGACGGCCGACTGCACGTCCAGGTAAACATGGCGGCCCGGCCGGCCGAGCGGATGTCGAGCCGGGAATGCCGGTAGGGGAAGTCTAGCTCGCGGCGGCTGCGAGTGAGCGGGTGCATGTGTTGTGCCGGTGCGGTGGGACGTTTGCCGTGCGGGCGGGGGGCGGTGAACCAGACCGGCGACGGCGGCGCCATGCAGCGTCCGCGCGTGCTGAGTGGCTCGGACTGACTCACCGCGGCCGGCTGGCGTGGTATCGGCACCACGCCGCCATGGCTGGTCAGCCTCGGGGAGCCGGACCCGGCGCCGCAGCTGGTCAGCCTCGAGGAGCCGGACCCGGCGCCGCAGCTGGTCAGCCTCGGGGAGCCGGACCCGGCGCCGCAGCTGGTCAGCCTCGGGGAGCCGGACCCGGCGCCGCAGCTGGTCAGCCTCGAGGAGCCGGACCCGGCGCCGCGGCTGGTCAGCCTCGGGGAGCCAAGTCGCAGCGCCCCAGTTGGGTCGGCTGGTCGCTGTGTCCGATGCGGGCCCTGCGAGCCGACTGTGCGCGGTACATTGACGCGTCCGACGGCGCGTCTGGCATAGAGGTGCGGAACACCGCCATTATGGCGACACAGCGTACAGGGACGTCCGCTTTCTTGTCGCGGTCATAACCGAGCCACCAGTCCCCCACTGGTGGTCATGAAAGGCTGTCAGCACCGTGGTCACGGTGTGTGCAGTTGCTTGCTCGTAGCTAGCTGATCTCACCTGATGTTATGTTCCACGTGCTGCTCAGTTCAGTTCAGTCAAGGACAATTCAGGCCAGGCCATTCTACTACTGACATTGCAATCTGAGCAAACAAGAGCCCGTGCAGGGCATGCATGTTGGTGAAGATGCATGCCTGCTACTCGATTTGGTCGTGGCATGGAGGTGTGCGGTGATCTGTGTATTTAGAGGCTTACATCCCATCTGAAAGGCTCCAGGCATTCGTGCAGTCCTATAGAGACTGCGTGATACATCTCTCTCTCTCTCTCTCTCTCTCTCTCTCTCTCTCTCTCTCTCTCTCTCTCTCTCTCTCTCTCTCTCTCTCTCTCTCTCTCTCTCTCTCTCTCTCTCTCTCTCTCTCTCTCTCTCTCTCTCTCTCCTCCCTCACACTCACACTCACACTCACACTTCACACTCACACTCACCACTCACACTCACACTCACACTCACACTCACACTCACACGCACACGCACACGCACACGCACACGCACACGCAACTCACACACTCACACAATCAACACACTACACACCACACTACTCACAAACTCCACACACTCACACACTCACACACTCACACACTCACACACTCAAACACTCAACACTCACACACTCACACACTTTCACACACCACACTCACACAATCACCCACTCACACACTCACACATCACACACTTCACACACTCACACATCACCACTCAACACACTCACCACTCACCATACACACTCACACACTCACACATCACACACTCACACAACACCACCACTCACACTCTCTCTCTCTCTCTCTCTCTCTCTCTCTCTCTCTCTCTCTTTCTCTCTCTCTCTCTCTCTCTCTCTCTCTCTCTCTCCTCTCTCTATCTCTCTCTCTCTCTCTCTCCTCTCTCCATTCAGTGTTTGGCGCTCGCAAATTGTCGCAGCCGGTGAAATGTCTGCGGATTTCTCCTCCGAGCACAGCCGGTACGAGCGTGCCGTGGTCAGCAGCCACCGGCGTCGCCTCGGCACACTCGTGCCGTGCGAGGTGACACCACCGGTCGCGGCGCCCAGCCGCCCGTGTCGGCACCAGCCACCCGGCCAGGCAGCGGCGGGTCGGCCCGATGCGCACGGGAGACGGCCCGGTGCGGGCGGGCGGCTGCTCGAGACGCTGGCGGCCGCCCGAGCTGTGCTCGCGTACCCTGGTCGACGAAGCTGCCTCAGCCGGTATCAGTCGGGAGCGTTGTTGTCAGCGGTGTCCGCCAGGGTGGAAAAGGAAGCTTTTCTCCGCGGCTGTCAGCCAGGAGAGCTTCCCAGGAGTTGGTCGCATGCTGATCTGATCTCCGCCGTGGTGCTCCTTCGTCCGAAGAATTCGGGAGGAGGTTCGGCGAGCTGCTTCACTTGCGGCTCAGCTGCGACGTCAGATGACCCCTGCACGACAGGGTCAGGCTCTTCGTCTGAATTCATGCTGATAGCAGGGGGCACACACGATACATCATGTGGCTGTTATCGCTCACGTTATGGGAGCATGTTCTGATTTTGAGCGCACGCTTCTATGGCATTTCATAACACGCAACGTGACAAGCTCGGTGGTATTCGGCCATGTGTTGTGGAGCGCTGCTGCCGGGTGGTGGCATGTTGTCCGGGATCACCTCCTCTCGTGCCGCCGGCGGCGACCCGGCGCGGCCGGTGGCTTTGTGGGCGGCGGGTCAGCGACTCGCTCCCGGTGACCGACCGCGCCTGCTCAGCAGCCTGTTTTCCATCGGCGCTGGCCGTACGATGACGGCAGGTGGCTCAGCAAACACGCTGCACAGCCAGCGTGGCCGAGCGGCCGGCCGTCTCGCCGCCCGGATGTGATGCGGTGCGCTGCTGACGGGCTGCCGGCTGGACGACGCCCTAACCAGAGTGGTCAGCCAGCCGGCCGCCGCCGACCGCCCAGACGGACGGCGGCGCGGCGTGACGGGGGTGAATGCGCGAGTGGTTGGGAATGGGAGGGCTCGGCCGGCTGCCGTCTCAGTGGCACGGCCCGAAGTTTCACCGAACCGGCTGAGAGAGTGCTGTCGCCACGTTCACAAACACACCGCGTCTCCGCCTGCGCAGGAGTGAGGAGCCGGAGCCGCCGCCACCGCCACCACCGCCTGCCCCCAGTGAGGCGCCGGGCACGCCGCTGCCGGTGCCCACCGACGCGTCAGTGGTGCCGCTGTTGGCGCCCGACGCGCCGGCCGAGGCGGACTCGTGGCTGCCGGCGCCGGTGCTGGCGCCAGCCGCGCCCGTGCCGCAAACAGCGTCGGCGACGCCGGCGGCGACGGCCTGGCAGCAGCAACAGCCGACGCCGGAAGTGGCGCTAGCGCCGGCGGGGGACGCGTCGGCCCCACGCGCGGCCACGGTGCCGGACCCAGGAGAGCCGCCGCCGCCCGATACGGGACCGCCGGAGCCGCCGGTGGTGATTGCACGGGATATACGCACGCTGCCATCCACGCCAGTGCCACCGGCGCCGCCGGAAACTGAGCCGGGGCCAGAAACGGAGACAGCGGCGGAGACAGGGGTGGAGGCGGAGGCGCAGGCGGTGGCGAAGGCAGAGATCGCGGAAGAGGCGACGCCCTCCGAGCAGCCGCCGTCCGACAATGGGACGACGGCGGCGGCCGAGCGGGCTGACGGCCTCCGCCAGCTGGAGACCGGATCCGGCGAGGAGATCCAACCCTTCAACGAGTGGGCCAGCCGGCGCGTGGAGGAGACGCAGAAGAAGACTGGTGAGTAGGTCTGTGCGGCTGCGATGGACACAAGTCTCCCTGTAATGGGATGATCAGCAGACCCAGATCCGGTAAAAATAACGGTATTGCCTCACAGCAGGTTTCGGACAACCAATATGTTTTAAGCTGTCAATGGGTAGCCGCAACAAAACATGTCAAGATCTCAGGGGTGCTTTGACACGGTAATGAGGTGAGCAATCGTCCTTGTCCATACGGGTCATCATTTTCTCGCCGTACTGCGTACGTCTACGCCACATGGCGTCAATCACCGTCGGCTCCGCGCTACTGACGCACGGCTAAGCCGTCCCGCTACGTCCTTCGTGTTCTGCTGTTGGCACCCCGGCCTAGTGCTGGTCGCTTAATGCTCCCGCAGCCCCGTCCCTGACTGCAGACCAGACTACCCTGCCGTCGTCTGCCGCCCTCAGCCGTACACCTCCGCCCCAGGAAACGGTGTGAGAGCTTCCGTGACCGCAGGCCAGACCGCCGTGATCGTGTCCGTGACTGCCGATCAGACCGCCGTGATTGTGTCCGTGACTGCCGATCAGATCACCGTGATTGTGTCCGTGACTGCCGATCAGACCGCCGTGATTGTGTCCGTGACCGCCGATCAGACCGCCGTGATTGTGTCCGTGACTGCCAATCAGATCGCCGTGATTGTGTCCGTGACTGCCGATCAGACCGCCGTGATTGTGTCCGTGACTGCCGATCAGATCGCCGTGATTGTGTCTGTGACCGCGGACCAAACCGCCGTGATTGTGTCCGTGACTGCCGATCAGACCGCCGTGATTGTGTCTGTGACCGCGGACCAAACCGCCGTGATTGTGTCCGTGACTGCCGATGAGACCGCCGTGATTGTGTCCCTGACTGCCGATCAGATGGCCGTGACCGGCCGCCCCGTTGCCGCAGGTGATGCCGTGTCGCCGTCGTCGGGCCCGGGCGCCAAACCGGCCAAGAAGCCCCCGGTGCGGCACCGCATCAAAAACTACGCGTCGCCTGACTGCGGCGCCAAGGTGTTGGCCGCTAACCCCGGTGCCACCTCCGCGGGCAACGTGCTCAGTCCGGGCCGCGACGAGTACATGCTCAACAGCTGTGACACGCGAGTCTGGTTCGTCGTCGAACTGTGCGAGGGCATCCAGGCGAGCAGGGTAAGTGCCCATCTGGTGGTAGGGAGGGATGCTTCAGTCGAGACGACTGGGTGTCACGATCGGTAAATGAAGCCCACTCTGGTGTAGGAAAGTCTCTTGTTGTTACCAGCTAAACTGGATCGCATCACTGGCCCAGCCATAACATTCTGTCTCTTGACATGGTCTGAGCAGGGTCACCCTTCAGACTGGATTAGACGCCCGCCAGTCACCGTCTGCGGAATGATCTTGTTCCTTTTTTATGTACATTATGTTGTCTCAATCTTGGGGCCTCTATCCAAACCATGATCACGTTGAACTCCGGGAAACACGTTTCAGTTCATGCCTTAGTATAGTATAATATGCCATATGCCATATGCGTAATATGCCATAATATGGCTCCGGTGTAGAGCACTAGCGCGCTCGTGTCAGGACACGTTCTACGCTGTAATTGTGGTGTGGACTTGGCCCGTTGGTCCAGCTGACGATGTCGGTAGCCGGCCGGTCCGCCGCGCCGCTACCATCAGCGGCCCGACTGACGCCCCACCGCCGGCCGCCGGCAGCTGGAGCTCTCCAACGACGAGCTGTACTCGTCGTCACCGCGCGAGTTCGCCGTCTACCTGACGGACCGCTACCCGACGCGCGAGTGGAGCCGCGTCGGCCAGTTCACGGCCGAGGAGCGCCGCGGCCCGCAGACCTTCCACCTGCCCACCGTCGTGTTCGGCAAATTTGTCAAGGTGAGGTGCCACCGGCTCCAGCCCCGGTCCCGGTCCGGGGTCCGGTTCTGGTTCCGGTCCGGATTTCGGCTCCAGCTCCGGCTCCGGCTCCGGCTCCGGCTCCGGCTCCGGCTTCGGCTCCGGCTTTGGTTTTGGCTTTAGCTTCGGCTTCTGCTCTGGCTCCGGCTTCATGCCGGAGCCAGAGCAGAGCTTAACACCCTGCCGGCTTAACACCAGAGCAGAGCTTAACACCCCACACAGAGCTTCAGAGCTACAGAGCAGAGCACAGCTACAGGGCTACAGAGCAGAGCTACAGAGCAGAGCTTAACACCCCACCTTAACACCCTGCCGGGCTTACGCGGCATCAGAGCCTCCCGGCTCTGATGCCGCGTAAGCCCGGCGGGGTGTTTCAGCCGCGCCACGGGGTAGCCCTGTGACTGTAGCTGCTGGGCTCTCGGTCAGCCGTACGCAACACGAAGGCCCAGTGCCGTGCTTCTCCCCTAAAGAGCTACATAAAAAACTGTCCCAATGTTTGATGAACAGCAAGATCTGTCGTAAACGAATTAAGAGAAAAGGATTAAACTTCATTAAGTTTAGGACTTTTGAGCGGGCGTGTTTTTCATGTTACTGTTGTTTCGTTTTGTTTTGTTTTTTGTTTTTTGTTTTTGGTTTGGCGGGGAGATGTTGAAGGGTTTTGTTTTGCTTTGTTTGGGCGGGGGGGGGGATGTTAAGGGTGTTGGGCCGCTTTATTTTGTTTTGGTTTTGGTTTGGTGGGGGATGTTGAGGGCTTCTTTTTGGTTGGGCGGGGGGATGTTGAGGGTGTTGTTTCGTTTTGTTTTGTTTTGCCTGGTTTGTTTTGGTTGGGAGGGGGGATGTTGAGGGTGTTATACCGTTTTGCTTTGTTTTGTTTTTGGTTGGGCGGGGATGTTGAGGGTGTTGTGTCGTTTGGTTTCATTTTGGTTGGTTTGTTTTGGTTGGGCGAGGGGAACGTTAAAGGCGTTGGGCCGCTTTGTTTTGTTTTGTTTTGGTTTTCGGTTTGCGCGGGGGATGTAGAGGGTGTTGGGTTGGGCGGGGGAGGTGCTGAGGGTATTGGGCCGTTTTGGTTTCTTTTGTTTTGTTTTGGTCGGGTGGGGGTATGTTGAGGGTGTTGGGTCGTTACGCTGTCAAAAAGAAAAGGGAAAGCAACCGTTCAGCAGTTCTCATGCTATTGCACGGAAGCACGCATTTTCGACCTGCGCAATGGTGCTGTTTTCCGCAAAACATGCCACGATGTCGCCCGGAATGTGGAGGAAATTATTGGTTTGAATCGTGCTTATTGCTGGATGCTGTTTTATTTCGTTTGTGGTGTTGTGGCATAAGGTGGTAGTACTTTCAGTATGCAATTCTGGAGGGTCACCAAGGTTTGCCGCTCGTTTTTGTGCATAGTTTTCGATTGCCCGAGTTGCCGCGCGTTCTTCCACACTCCCCTCGCGGGCAGGTGGAGATCCTCAGCAACTACGGCACGCACTACTACTGCACCGTCTCGACGCTGCGCGTGTACGGAGCCAGCGAGTACGAGGTGCTCGACCACGAGGACTCGGAGAACCACTCGGACGAGACTTCCGAGTACGAGGACCTGCTTGGTACGACTGCCCCAGCGCTCCCCACGCCCGGCGTGCACTCTCGTTGTTCTCGGTCCTCCTTGATACAACAGTCCCAGCGCTCCCCACGCCCGGTGTGCGCTGTCGTCGTCCTCAGTCCTGCTTGGTACAACAGTCCCAGCGCTCCCCACGCCCGGCGTGCACTCTCGTTGTTCTCGGTCCTGCTTGATACAACAGTCCCAGCGCTCCCCATGCCCGGTGTGCGCTGTCGTCGTCCTCAGTCCTGCTTGGTACAACAGTCCCAGCGCTCCCCACGCCCGGTGTGCGCTCTCGTCGTCTTAGGTCCTGCTTGATACAACAGTCCCAGCGCTCCCCACGCCCGGTGTGCGCTGTCGTCGTCCTCGGTCCTGCTTGGTACAACAGTCCCAGCGCTCCCCACGCCCGGTGTGCGCTCTCGTCGTCTTAGGACCTGCTTGATACAACAGTCCCAGCGCTCCCCACGCCCGGCGTGCACTCTCGTCGTCCTCGGTGTCTGGTTTTAGGGGTTTCAGTGTGATCTTGGGAATCGGTCATCCTTTTGCTTTTCCGGCATTCTCATCGCTATACCTTGCATATGTTAATACCTGTCCTGCGTATTGTGATGTTCGACCCCGGGTAGCCAGTGCGATTTTGCGAGGTCTTCCTGGCGTACGTTCTGGCATTCTTAGGTGTGGACGGTCGTGATGCGTTAAACACAGATGTGTCTCAAAAACTTAACATTCGCTGGCAGTCATCGACGCTATCAGTCAGCGTGAATATCAAGCTGATCCACTCTCCCTTTCCCATTCTCTCCACCAAACTTGACATGTAAGTTGGCTGGACGGGGTGTTCTACTTCACGCATCGGGGGTCATCGAGCGAATTGCGGAAACTAAGTGGTGCTCGTTTTCTAAACGCTCACAAAATGCCTCTCATATGGCTGTGATGGCCCAGGTTCAGACTCTTGCCCCCACTTCAGTTGTGTTTTAGCGCACGGATCTTTATACTGGGTCGCAGCGACTCCTCCATCACGGAGTTCGACCGATCCCAGTGTTCGGGCGCGTCCTCGCCCTCTCCGCCAAGCTGGCTATCACCACCTGTCTGTACCACAGGTGGTGATAGTCACGGATGTTCATTTGGCCGGCGGCCTGTGGCGCACTACGCAGACTCGACACGTGTGTGGCCAACGGTAGACCGCTGAGCCGCTGGTGAAATGCGCAAAAATTTGTGGCGTAATGCCGGAAATAAGCAAAAAATAAAACAAGACCTTGCTCTTAGTTGTTCTTACAGTGCCGAACTAACTGACACGTGCAAACCGACAATATTACCTTTGCTCGCAGCCCGCATACTCTGGGCGTGGGTGTGGGCTGATACGCGCGGACATCGCCTCGTGTGTGATTCAAATTTAGGCTGGGTCGCTGTCGGTACGTGGTCTGGTTTGATTTCCACGTGGTAACGCGGCTCTCTCTTGTTTCGACAATTAGCGGGGAACTGACCCGACCCGTACCCACTCGGCGTTGGCCCCTTTAATGTGGTCGTGACGCCGACACGCCGGGTCAGCTGGACCACAAGCGGCTGGCCGGCTGTCTGCACCGGGTACATTGATCTGCGGGTGGCGTCGGGCGTCGCCCAACCGTCACGCCACGGACGGCGCGCGGGTGCGTTCGATTGCCCTTACCGCACGGGCCGAGCAGACACCTGGGGCCCGACCCCCGGGCTGCCTGACTGGCTGGCGCTCCCAGTCTGGGTTCAGTTGTAAGACCACCGCCCGGTGACCACGTTCTTTGGGTTGTCTCGAGAATGATGGACCGAGTATGTGATAGGGCAGCTAGTTGCCCTCAGTGTTAGCTTAGCGCATTATCCTGCGTCGGGGAAGCGATGATGGATGCATGGGTGGGTAAATACAAGACGATCTTGTGGGCCCATCAGCGTAGCGTACACGTTTTCGTGATCTGGGGTCGGTGATCGCCAAATGATAGGGTCGGTCTGGTACACATAGACATAACCACCAACGCCGCATCCCGTTGTGATCCTACGCTCATGATTCGCGCCATGCACAAGTGGTGCAGCGACGTCGTGAACTGCACCGGCTATGCTACCACTGAGGGGAGGGGGAGGGGGCATGTGGGAAAATGACAAGTCAGCTAGTGTGGGCCGTTGTGGTCGGCCGACAGGTGGCGATCCCTCGAGTGCGTCCGAATAAGTAGATTCAGCGTGTACCCCAGCCCGATTCCCACACGGACCGCCTTCGGCACAAACACACCTGTCATTGTCATTGCCCGTGTTGCGCTATGACGACGTGGCGTGATGGATCACAACAGGACGGCCGCTGTCGTGTTTGGCAGCGCTGTCCGGCTCTTTGAGTGCACCTGCGTCAGTGAGCACAGGACGCTAACATGGAGCGGCGGCGCCTCCAGTCGCGCTCGTGGCCCCGCATGCTGCGGGCGGCAGCTGTTACGGGGGAGTGGCATCGCATCTGAGCTCTTTTTACCTGCGCCTTGTGGGCACGTGAGCTGAAAATTGGCACCTCCAGTCCGCAACAGCTGACCGGACCATCCCCGGATCGCCCCCTGACCTATCCTTGACTGCCCCCTGACCGCTCTCCGACTGCTCCCTGACTGCTCCCAGACCGCCCCCCTGATCACCCCCTGACCGCTCCCTGATTGCTCCCTGACTACTCCCTGACCGCTCCCTGACTGTTAACTGACCGCCCCCTGACCACCTCCTGACTACCCCTGACCATTCCCTGAGCGTCCCTGACCGCCCCTGACCGCTCCCTGATCGTCCCCTGACAGCCTTCTAACCGCCCCCTGACCGTCCCCTGACAGCCCCCTGGCGTCCCCCGGACAACCCCCTGAGCGGCCCCAACCGCCCCCTAACTGACCCCTGACCGCCCCCTGACCTCCCCTGACCGCTCCTGACCGCCCTCGACTGCCGTCTGACCGCCCCCTGACCGCCCCCCTTACCGCCTTCCGACTGCCTTCTGACCGCCCCTGACCGCCCCCTAACCGGTGGGCTCGGAACGCTCCGCCAGTCAGGGGGCGGCCCCTACTGCCTCCTGACCGCCCCCCCCCCCCCCCGACTGCCTTCTGACCGCCCCTTAAACGCCCCTTGACGGCGCCCTGACGGCGCCCTGACCACCCCCTGACTACCCCCTGACCACCCCCTGGCGGCCTCCGGACCACCCCTCTGAGCGTCCCTGATCGCCCTCTGAAGCGCCCCCGGCGCTGTCCGCAAAGCCTGCCGAGCCCACCCCTCTGAGCGTCCCTGATCGCCCTCTGAAGCACCCCCGGCGCTGTCCGCAGAGCCTGCCGAGCCCACCCCTCTGAGCGTCCCTGATCGCCCTCTGAAGCGCCCCCGGCGCTGTCCGCAGAGCCTGCCGAGCCCACCCCTCTGAGCGTCCCTGATCGCCCTCTGAAGCGCCCCCGGCGCTGTCCGCAGAGCCTGCCGAGCCCACCGACCGACCAAACCTGCTGAACAGGGCGCTGCAGGCAGTCAACAGCATGGTGCAGACGGCTAAAGTGGCTCTAACCGGACGTGAGTGGAGCGACGGCCGGGCGCGGCGGTGAAGGGCAGGGGAGGGATTCGTGATGTCAAGCTGCTACCTTTGGACGACGGGGCCACGCTTTGTCGTTTTGTTTGCCTATATTTATGATTGAAATGACTGGCGATTTCCATCCCCTCAAGAACCAACCCTGTTAATGATCGTACTTGTCTCAGAATGTGTTGTGCCGTTCACTGGCCTGTTGTGGTTGTGGAACGTGTTCGGTGGTGTTCATAGCAGTGCTGGGCGTGCCGGTAGCTGTCTGCCTGACGCGGCTCCGGTGCTATTGACAGAACGCGACTCGGATCCGGTCGAGCGCTGCGTCTCGCTGGATCCCCGCCAGCTGCCGGCCAACCTGAGCTCCGAGGCGCGCGCCGCCCTCGGCTGTCGCTTTACGGCGCTGGCCGCCACCGCCGGCGGCGCGCTGTTCCGGCGCGCAGAGCGCAGTTGCGACATCTGTCGGCCGCCAGAGGACAGCACCATCACTCGCCACTCGGCGCTCTGCGGCCTAGCGCGCGCCATCCTGTCGCCCGACGCCGTGCAACAGGTGTGCGCCGTACGTGCGCTGACGCCGCCGGCGCCGCCGGTCGCCGCCGAGTGGCCGCGCGCTAATGGAACGGTCGAGCCGGCGCTGGCGGTGGAGGCGCCACAGCGACCGCCGGTGGCCGAAGGCGCGCCTTTGCCGGACGCCGCGACAGCGCCGCCGGCCGAAGCGCCGGCACAGGAGCCAGCGCCGCCGGTGGTGGTTAACAGCAGCGCGCCGGTGGTGCCGGCCGAGGAACGCTCCGCCAATGAGACGGCGGCGCCGGCGAACCAGACGGCTGGCGAGCCGGCGCCGGCGGAGGAGGGCGCCCCGCCGCCGCCGTCACTACCCGAGCTGGAGCCGGGCCAGGTAGCTCCTCTGCCGCCCACCACCGACCCGCCGCCGGCGCAGAAGGAGTCAGTGTTCGTGCGGCTCAGCAACCGGATCAAGGCGCTGGAGCTGAACATGTCGCTCAGCTCGCAGTACCTGGATGAGCTGTCACGCCGCTACAAGAAGCAGGTGGAGGAGATGCAGAAGACCTTCAACAAGACGATTGCGGCGCTGGAGGTGACCGGTGAGTGGACGGCTGGCCTCCCACCGGTATGTGGCGGGATACCAGCACGCCCGTCTTATGTTTAACCCGCACTCGTTTAGCGTGCAGCGGCATTCACGCTTCCCCCTCTTAGTGTATTTCTGACCGTATTCTTCCATCACACCATCGACGCGTAGGGCCACGTAGGGCAGGAGGCGATGCAAATAAGCACTGTCTTGCCACATGGCATGCTCGCTGTCATTAACTACACCTCATACTTAGCACTATCTGTCCTAACAGCTCAGTTGGTTAGAGCGCCTGCCCTCCGATCCATTCACCCGCCAGTTTAGCAGGGTTCGAGTTGCCTTAGGCTTTTGCTCTTTGCTCTTGACTGGGGTGGCCTGCGGCCAGTGACAATGGGTGCTTTAAAGGTCAGGTGACGTCTAGCGGGCAGGACCGACCATGCCAAGCATTTTGCCATGTTAAATTTTCGACCCCAAAGACTGCCGTTGAGCTGGAATTGCACGATCGGATGGTAGAGGTTGTGACTAAATATTAAAAGAGAATTTGCTACGCCTTGCGTCCTGTCCGTCGCGCATCATCTTATGGCGTGGGGGCAGTTGTATGCATGTATACTCCAATTATTGTGTCGGTCGGGTGTGCGCTACGCGGACCAGTTCATCTTCGGAGTCCTCCTCGTCCGTCTTCAAGGTACCATTGGTACGAATACCTGAAATCCGTGATTCAGGGATACCAGATGGGTCCCTCCCAGCTATGCGGTAGTGAAGCTGAGGATTCAGTGTCCGTCGTATTTCCTGAAAACGCGTGCCATATATGCAAATATACGGGACCCGCGTGATGACGGTGGCGGCTGCGCCGCCTCACTGCCCCCACCTCTGCGGCAGCCCACGACGCTGAGACGCGGGACGAGCTGCAGCAGGAGATGATCCGCTCGCTACAGGGCCAGATCCTCAACCTCACGCGCGTGGTGGCCGGCGTGGTGGCCGAGAAGGAGAGCATCACGTGGACGGTACGCTCGTGCCACCTTCTCTGGTTGCCATCGGGGCTGAGGATCGTGTCGGCCGGTGCATTGGACACGTGCTCATTGGTCCAACAATATGCTGGACTGTTTTTTCCTATGAGGTAAAAAATGTGTTTTGGACTTGGCGCCACGCAGCTACATACGTGGTATCATAAACTGGCCGTTGATGCTTGCTTTAAAAAAAACATATGAATGGTTAGCATGGGCGACTCTGTGCTAGGGGCGTGCGCGTAGCACAGCTCGCTGCTGATTTCGTGAACCAGTCTCGCAAGTTGTGCCGTTCCATTTCAACGAGTATCATGGCCCCTGAAGTTTTGTCAGGCGGGACTTCGGAGGGATTCGCGTACCCTTCAATGCCAGGACACGGCCGCCCCTCGCGCGGTTGGTCCCCTTCGACCCTCAGACTACATTTGAATGGTAGTCGAGTGGAGCGATGTGCCCGTTACGGTATTGGTACTGGACCAATCGTCGCTGGAGGGCGAATCCTGTATCTGATTTGGAACGCATGGTGAATGCCTATGTGATGAGATGACGCCGGCTCGACATCTCTTAGGAGTCCCGGAAGTAGATGATTGGATGAACTCCGTCTGTCTCCCCTGTGTATCCCCTGGTCGCCAGAGCCCACACAAGTCGCCCGTGTCTGCACCTGCCCCTCCCTTAGGGTTTGCCCCCGCCGGAGGCCCTGTCCACCAGGCAACCGACCCAGCCCGGCCCTGCCGTGCCCGCCTCCTGACAGGCCCCCACCCCGCCGCAGTTGGTGCAGCGCCACCTGGTGCTGATGCTGGCGGAGCTGCTGATGCTGGCGCTAGCGTTCGCGCTGTTGGCGCGACGGCCGGCGGCGTTGGCGCGTGCGCAGCCCGCACGGTCCGCACGACAGCCGGTGCTGCGGCGCAACAAGTCGGTCGGCGGCGCGCGCCGGCCGGCCGCCGGCCAGCCTGCGGCCGGCAAACACCGTCGCAGACCCAGCGACGAGGTGGTCAACATCTCAGGTGGGTGGCACCCGTCCGGATCGGGGCACCGAAGCGAGGCTAGGGCGCAGGTGGGGCGGGCCCGACCTCGCCGCCTGCGACAGACGAGGCGGGGGGGGGGGGGGGGGGGGGGGAGGGGCAGCGTAACCGGGCCGGGTGGCTAGCGCCGCGGCGCTCCGTATGATATCGTGCCGTGTCGCAGAACACCGCCGCAATCGGCCGGACCGGTCACGGGCGTTCGGGAGAGGCGCTCTTGTGAACGGAGCTGTTCCCAATCCGCATACTTACTGGACACGATGCTGCTCGTAAACTCAGTGTTCTGATCAGAGTTGACGGCCCTTAGTGGCTGACGGCTCAGAGCGTGTGTTTGGTGCTCAGATGACTGACCCGGCGCTCCGCCGCCGCCGCAGGGACGTACCGGGACCTGCTGATTGCAGAGGGCCAAGCGCCGGCGGCGCGGCGCGGCCGCCACCCAGGACGGGTCGCACGGTCGTATAGCACGTGGTCGCTGAGCTCGGAGGAGGACGAGGCACCGACCGAGGTGGCAGTGCCCGGCGTGGGCGTGCTGTTCGCCAGCTCGCCTGCCGTGGCGTACGTGGACCGGCGCGGCGCGGCCGGACGCGCCGCCACCAGCAACCCGTACTCGGCACTGTGCCGGCTGGAGAACGGCGACGGCGGTGGCCGGCTGACAAACGGCTACGCTCCGCCTTCGCCTCCGCCTCCGCCACCAGCGGCGCCGGGCCCTTGGTGCGGTGGACCGCGGCGCCGCGACAGGGACAGGGACCGCGAGGGGCGCGACCGACCGGCCGACGGCAGGCCAAAGCCGCGCGACGAGCGCCGACGCGTCAAGAAGAAGCTGCAGGTGGTGTAGTGCGTCGAGAAAGGGAAGGGGTACCGGCCGTGCAATATCCTGTGTTGCCGGAAAGACCGTACTTTGGCTGTGATCATGATGAATAAATATACAGTGAACCGTGGACGGTTGTGGTGTCAGGCGGGATGGGCGTAGTGACGCAGGCTTGACTTGCCTGGTGGGCTGGGTAGGCGGGTGTGGTCATGCGGGATGGGCGTAGTGACGGATGCTTTACTTGCCTGGTGGGCCGGGTAGGAGGGTGTGGTCAGGCGGCGGCCTTTGCCGAAGGGCACTGCCGGTGCGGGCGGCGGCAGTTCTTCGCGGGCGGCTGCGTCTGTCGACACATTTGTCGACACATCTGTCGACACATTCCTCTTCTTGGCATTCCATTGCAACGTCAAGATCCTGCACTGTGGGCAGATTCTTTCAGATTTCAGCCACAGTTTGACTCACCTTTATGCTACCATTGCAATGCTTATGAGTTGGTGGCACCGCGCACAATGCTCCCATGAGTTGGGCCTTGACACGGAGGTGAAGCAAAGTTGTCATTTTCATATGTGGACGGACCGATCGTGCGGCACGATTGTGCTTTTTGAATCGGTGCTTTTTGTTTGAAGTGTTCATCTGTAGCCTCGAATTGGATCGTTACAGTGCGCAGTCCATGGCTGACTCAATCCATGTTTCAACACACTTTTTTGCACCACTGTGACATCGCTTTGTTCTTAGTTATGTTGCCAACTTGTCACGTGATGTTGGTAGGTTTTCGTCTTACAGCGGTCTCTCCGTTGAACCTGGAATCAGGCCTGGAAAGTCACCAGAATTGATAGGCCGCTCCAGACCCAAGTTTGCTTCCGACATGCCATGTGTTGCGCCATTTCGATGCTTCTGGGTCGGTTGCTTTTCATTATAGCGCCACTCTGATCAAAGAGAAAACACGAACACAGGTATAGACAAAAATATAGAAAAGCACAGGGCTTGGTTTTGTCACGCTCTGCTTTGCAGTACCAAGTTCTCCCAATGCCATATTCCCAGTCATGAGACTCAGTAGCCTCTTTGACATCGAGGGGTCAAACGATCGAGTATTGCCGACTAACAGACTGCTACGATACCTGTGATCAAAATGAGGGAGCTGGCTTCTTTCACCGAAATCCGAAGGCGCCCAAAAACATCCCTAAGTAAACCGCAGCTTTCTGGGTGTAAGAATGCCATCGCTCCAGGTTCGGCTAAGCCCGACTATGGCCGTTCAACGGAGGATACCGTTGGGTGGCCTTATCTCGGGGTAGGTCGCGCAGCCGCCGCGCTCAAGCGCACGCGCGGTAGTGATCAGGATCTTGCTCTGGAATCGGGTCTCTAGTCAGGTGGGTTAGGTTAGGCTGGAGAACGGCGACGGTTAGGTTAGGAATCAAACGATTCTTTCGAGTGACTTTCTTCCATGCCACTGCTCTGACAGGACGTCACGTGAACCGCCAGTAGGTTGGCCGTCAGGGAAATAACGTGGCGTTCGCGTTCGAGCAGAATTCAAATGCGGGCCGAAGCCACAAATGGCGCGCCCAGTGGCCGCACGTGCCTCTAGTGCAGCTGATTGTACCATACCGTAGCGCCACATGGGTTGCGCACCTGACAGCCGGCTCGCAGATGCAGCGCCCCGCCGGGTGTGTGGAGCTCGCAGCTGTCGGCAAGAGGGAGGGGAAGGGGGCTGACCACCCGCCGCGGGCGGTCAGCTTCGCCCGCGGACGGGCAGTCAGTTCCGGCAGTGGCCACCCGCGCAGGCGGCGGTTTTTGAAGCCGGTCACCGTTTGACTGCACTGCTAATTCAACGATTCTTTCGAGTGACTTTCTTCCATGCCACTGCTCTGACAGGACGTCACGTGATCGTGGGTATCAACGATTTCCAAGTCAAATAAGTGCTAGGCTCATGAACGTGACTAGATATAGTGTATGACAGTGTATAACATACATATCAGATGTAGTGTGTGACTGCCATATAGTGCAGGGGAGGCCAAGTTGAAGTCGAACCGCTGCTAGGTTGAATGTATTATAAAAGCTCACTCTCACGATGAACGGGGCTTATATACAAAACAATGCGTCGCATGGAAACAAGACACTTCCGTCGACACGTGCGCACCACGTGAGGCAATAACGCTCTCACGTAAGCAGTCACGCCGGGCGACGGGCGCCCGCATACGGCCACTTCACTGCCGCGCAGCACGCATACCCACGCGCGCGCGCGCGCGCCGGCGTACCCAATAGCAGTACACGAAGCGGGTACACCCACTCGGAACGCGCGGGCCATCAACACGACATTGCGACTTCCAGCCGGCCATAGCACGGGGGTCGACCGCGCGCCCAGGACCCACCTGACTAGAGACCAGTGCACGGCACATCAGTGCAGCGACACCGTACACCTGCAAAACAAGCCAACGCTCCAAATAAACCATTTGATTATTATGCACGAAGGAACAGCCCAACAATGAGGCGGCGAGCCCGGCGTGCGGACAACAAGAACGCACCACTATCGCAGCCAGCAATCTCTACCGTTGATTAATATCGATGGAGAGCGGCCTATCCCCAGCAGAGGTTGCCGCCGACACGCAGACGCCGGACGCTGACTAGACGTGCCGGCATAAAATAATCGGCCCCGACCAGGCCGGCCACAGCGCCTGCCAACGGCGGCCGAGATGGGAGGGGCAGGGGGCGACAGACAGCATCCGGGCGGCGCGCAGGCCCGAATGTCGCGCGAGTCGAGGGCCGGACGCCGACGGCGGCCTGGAGCGGTGCCACGGCCGCGGCCATCGACGCCGCAGACTAGGGAGGCCGACCGTCGCGGCCTGCGCTCCGCCGGGGCGGCCGGGCGTGCAGCGGCGCCGCAGTGGCACCAGACGGCCACTGAGTAGCCGCCCTGTCGGCGCTGGGGGCCACTGAGAGTGCGAAGAGCGACCGCCGGAGGCACCACGGTCGGCGGAGGACCGCTCACTTCTTGGCTCGGCCCCGCGGCTTGATCGATTCCGAGATCTCCCACATCTTCTCTTCGGTGAAATATTTATCAAAGTTCGAAAAGAAGTTCAAAATCTTGTCATTCGTCTTGAACTGGTATTGCCTGGAAACATAACCGAATGATAGGAATGATCCATGATCAAAACCAGTGGTCGCACGGTTATGGAATTCGAGTATGTATGCGAGAATCAACGCGCAGAGCAAGATGCCTCCAAACACGTTCTAAGCACATTCATACTGCTAACATGTTGATGATTCGACCTAAATGGGCAAACTGATACTTTGCGCGCACACCACCGCAATACAGGCGTCTGTCCCGTGGGCCGACAGAAGCAACACGGACTCGCTTAAGTTCTACCATAGCCGCTGTGCACGCGACAAACACAGTACCAGCGCACAGTCCCACGTACCCCTTCTTGAAGCGCTTCATGTTGTCGAGGATGTTAAACTGCTGCCAGCGCTTGGCGAAGTTGATACAGCCGTCGGGCAGCAGATCCGGGTTGCCGATGTGGACGAACGTCAGGTCCTGCCGCCGACATCACAATGTTGCTGTCACCGGCCGACACACACACACGCACGCATGCACGCACGCACGCACGCACGCACGCACCACAGCGTTATACACTACAGTGCACGGCGATGGTACGCTCGTTTCTAGCACGGGGCGAGTCGCACGGAACAGCAATGACGCAGGAAATGTAGATGTGCGCGACATTGGACCGTCGGAGAGTAGAGCTCCAGCCGCTAGACAGTGTTCGCGGATCCGACAGCGCGCCGCCGTCTGCGCCCGCGCCTGCCGCTGACCTGCAAGATGAGCCCGATGTACGGTATGCAGGGCGGCGTGGCCTCGGCCAGCGCCTGGCGATAGGCCCGGAAGCTGCTGCTCGAGTCGATCAGCGCGCAGTACTCCTTGAGCGCCTCGGAGATCTGTTTCTGCCACTCCAGGCGGCGGACCTGCCGGCGAGGCGGGCGGCGCGGCGTCAGCCCGCTCCACACGGATGCTCGGTCGCCCAAGGGCAGCCAACCAGCAGAAACAGCCCGGACCAGGACCGGTCACGAGTCGAGCCACGTGCCGCACGACCCGCGTCACACACCACAGGCAAAACCTCGTGTTAGGCTCGACGGCGGGAGCAACTATCCATGGGGCGACCTGGGACCTGCCTATGTCAAGGAGTCCAGGTTGTCCGACACGATGCCAGCGACCGCCAGCAACTGGCCGCAGCTGAGCGGTTCGACACGACCGCGGCGCACCAGGCCTCACCGGGGCACTGTCCAGCGCCGACAGGATGGCCAGATACGAGTTGAAGTTGTTCATCTTGCGCAGGTGCTTCATGATCTTAATGAACTTCAGGATAAGCTTCTCGCGGTCCTTGGCCGCCTCTCGTGGGTCGAGGATCAAGCTGCGGGCCCAGTAGCTCATCTTGTTGAAGTGCTCGGTGAAGGTGGTGAGGTTGGGCGATTTCTCCTCATTCTGCTCCTGCGCCCAGATCAGCACCTCTGGGATCTCGATGCTGACAAAAAGCTTCGAGTCGAGCAGCGTCATCTGCTCGGCCAGGTGCTCTGACTTGAAGTCGAGCAGTGTCGGCTGCCGTACCGTGCTGGCGGCCGGGACACGAGGTCAGACCCGGACGACGCCGCCGCCCGCACACGGCCCGATTGAAGCCACACATCGGCCGGGTGGGCACCGGGACAGACATGTGACGGACATCGGGTCACCGCCGCTCACCGGCGCACGACAGTGACAGGCGCCAGTCATCCAGTGATTTAACGTCCAAATGAGCGTAACAGCGGACGTCTCTTTGAGGCCTAGTCGCCAGGCCACCCACTATCCCTCCCACCTCCCGACGCCCACTCACGCCGACTGATCCTCGAAGCCGGGCAGCTCCTTGGGCGGGTTGTCGTGGCGCCGTTTCGTCTCATGCTTCTCCAGAATCTTGCTGCGCAGCGCCTTGGCCAGCATCAAATCGCCGTTCTTCAGTAAACCCACCTCGAACTCCATCAAGGTGCCCAGCAGGCTCTGCGTCAGGTCCGACAGTCTGCCGGGAGAGCGAGTCGTCAGGTCCGACTCTGCCGGGAGAGCGAGTCGTCAGGTCCGACTCTGCCGGGAGCGGGGCGTCAGGTACGACAGTCCGCCTGGACAGCAAGGCGTCAGGTACGCCAGTCTGTCGGGGGAGCGGATGCGGGCTCAGACAGACCACCGTGGGAGCGGAGCGTCAGGTACAACAATGTTCCGAGAGGGTGAGGCGTCAGGTCAGGCAGTGTGCAGGGATAGCGGGGTGTCAGGTCCGACTGTCTGCCGGGAGAGCGGGTGCGCGCTCAGACAGTCCGCCGGGAGCGCGGTGTGCCGTGTCCAGTAGTCTGGCCTCGGCTGGCCGTCTGGGCCGCCGTAATGGACCGGACGACGGTCGGCACGACACCGGACAGGCCATTCCCCTCCCCTGCCGGCCCGATCCAGCCCTCCCCTCCGGCCCCGGTCGCCCCGCCATAAGCCGCATCCGGTCCCGGCGGCCAAACGGCGACAACAGCAGCCCGAGCGCGCAATGGCGACAACCGGTCCGCCCGGGATCATCCGCACACGGTAACCCTGACTGGAGGTGACCCGTCGCTGCCGCCAGCGACCGTCGCCGCCACAAGGGTAGGCTTCACTGACTGGGAGGAGACGAGAAGACGGGCATTACACTGAACGAATCGGGATTTAAAATCACAAGCCGGCACGGGGAATGCTCCCATCGCTTGCTGCGCCACCTTCAGTTCCGGGCTACCACTGTCCAACGCAAGCACGGCAAACCGACAACCCTGACCAACGTCTGACAAAAGCACACCGAACCCAAAACAGTGTGTGAATCTGGACCTGGAGAGCTGCACACGCCCTGACGCGCCAGAGACCGGCTCTCAGGGGCAGCGGCCGACGCGCCTCCCGTGCTCTGTCACGCTCCAGTGGCCCTGGGCGCGGTCCAACGCACGCATTATCATTGATATGAGCTTAGGAGACGACCATCACGTCGCACCGATGGCCCGCTCTGGCCTGCGCTTTGGCCTGCGTTCGCCTGGCCTTGCCGACCGTCTTGGTGACACGCCGTCCCCACCACCGCGGCCAACAGTTCAGCCGTCGGAGCACGGCCAGCCACCACCGCGGCCAACAGTTCAGCCGTCGGAGCACGGCCAGCCACCACCGCGGCCAACAGTTAAGCCGTCGGAGCACGGCCAGCCACCACCGCGGCCAACAGTTCAGCCGTCGGAGCACGGCCAGCCACTGCCGCGCCACCGGGGCGTGCTCAGCACTCACGCCAGATCGTCCACCACTCTGACGAGCAGGGAGAAGGCGTTCTTGGCGGCGCGCTGCCGGGCCGGGTCGGACGACCGCTGGAACGTGTCGTACCGGTACAGCAGGCGCTCCACCAACGCCTCCGACGTCAGGAACGTGCGGTATGTGGTGAGGAACGCCTCCTGGTAGATGAAGTCTGCAACGGACGGCGGCGGTGACGGCGCTCAGTCGTGTGCCGAGCGCGGACGCAGAGGAGGGGAGGGCGCGCTGCACAGAAATACACGGCATACAAAGACGAAGGCCACACTGGTACTCAGGCGGGGCTAAGAGAACGTGCTCACGAACGCTTCAAGCACCACACAAGGTTTTCGACATGTTTGTTTCCAAAGAGTGACACAGTCAACATGTAACAGGAAGGGTGATAGCGGATACAAGCAGTCGCGCCGAGCAAACAGGTTCAAACCAACACCACCACCACCAAAAGAGGCAGGAGCACCCTGCAAAATGATACATCACAACAACCTCCAGAAATGCAATTCAATGTATTAGAACCATGCTAATAAGATCCCGTCGCAATCTGATTAACATAGTTACAGTATTTAAGAGAAAACTGAGGCATAGCAGAAGTAAAAAATACTAAAAAGTATATTAAAAAGGACATTAAAAAGACAACGAGAAAACATAAGCATTTCCCGAAGTTGCATAACCGAACAATTTTGCACGTCCCGAAATGTTGGGAGCAAACGCGAGCAAAGACCTTCTCTGTCCAGTCTGGTGACACCGTCGCTTTACATCCAAGTACAAACAAACTTCAGCACTTAAAAAAAGCAACAAGTTTTGTGGTAGCGCGTAGTGCTGGCTGGCGGCGCGCAGCCGCGGCCACCCTGCCGGTGGCCACCGTCAGTCGGTCTGCCGCTGCCGACCCCGGCGGGGCAGGCCGCGGCCACCCTGCCGGTGGCCACCGTCAGTCGGTCTGCCGTTGCCGACCCCGGCGGGGCAGGTCGCGGCCACCCTGCCGGTGGCCATCGTCAGTCGGTCTGCCGCTGCCGACCCCGGCGGGGCAGGCCGCGGCCACCCTGCCGGTGGCCACCGTCAGTCGGTCTGCCGTTGCCGACCCCGGCGGGGCAGGTCGCGGCTACCCTGCCGGTGGCCATCGTCGGTCGGTCTGCCGCTGCCGACCCCGGCGGGGCGGGCCGCGGCCGGCGGCACGGCTCTGAACGGCGGTGTCGGCCCGAGCCCGCCCCACCGGCGGCCAGGCCGCCCCAACACCTCGCACGCGACAGCCGAGAAGATGCAGCCAAGCGCCGACCCCGACGCACGCTCAAGTCAACAGAGAGGCGCGAACAGAGCCAGAAGGCGACAGACCGGGAGGGAGAGAGAGAGAGAGACAGAGAGAGACCGCGGGACAGACAGAAGCGACAAATGACGGGCCTCCACTCACCGCTGGTCTGCTCCTCTGATGCGATGAAAGACGGACAGTAATAAGCTACGGTGGGGAGAACAAGCACGGTGAGCCAGATACACGGAGGGACGCGGCGACCCGGCCGGTGCAGTCGCACGGTGTTCGGGCAGCTCGGCCCGGCGCGCCGCCATGCGCAGACACCCGCCAGCGGCCGGAGCCGGCCGGAGCCGGCCGTGACGGCGACACGCGGCAGCAGTGCACGCGGCCGGCGTGACGGTTACATCGAAACAGAGCGCCGAACAAACAGTGCAGCCAAATCCTACGTTACGTGTTCACTATATCACTACACGAATTTCGAGAAATCATCACAAGCACTCACTCAAAAGTCATTTCACAATCAAGAGTTGCAGTGTTAACCGCTATACGAATTTTGACAAATTATCACAACTACTGACTCCAAAGTCATTTCAAAAGCATGAGTTAAGGTGTTAATGTTTTATTTTACGCAAAGCGCGGTATGTGTTGGTTCATGTGTTAACTTTGTTTGGTTTAGGTTGAGCCGCTGTTCACAGAGGCAAGGCAGACAGGGACAGCTAAAAATCGGCAAATGGCCAAAGGACGGTGTTTGCGTGAGTGATACGAATACAATATGATTGACGTTGGAAGCTGCAATGAGATTATTGACTAAAGGGAGCATCCAAATTCAGGCGCCTCCAAACCCTTTAAAGGGATTGGACCAGCAGAACATCATGTTTAGCAAAACACGGAGCAAATTGAAGCATCTCCCGATACGTGTGAAACCATTCTTGTTGCCATACGTCTGCCCCTTATGTTACAATACTTTGCAACATTTTGGCTTTACCGTGGCATCTCTGTGAGGTCGATGCGTTTCAGGGAAGCCAACTTCAGGGGAACTCCGCAGGCAATAACGTTCCGGCATTCGGTGGGAGAAAATACAAAAGAAAAATACCACAGCGGCGATATTTCCGCTGCTCTGCATTCGTTAACAGCCGTTGTCTTGAGCAGCAAGGTTCACCGCACTTTACACCATTTGGATTTTGTTGTGTTCACCCAATGTCTCTCAGTACAACGTACTACCCACGAACGCAGAACACAGGCTTGCAATAGTTCCAGAAAATGGCCTTCAGGGCGTTCATGCCACGTCATGAGGCCTACGCTCATGCCACACTGTTCCGCAAAAGCCAGTAACGGGACCTGGAGAAAACAAACTGACATTCGAGAACCACAGCCCACAGAGCTGTTTTTAAACTTGCTGAGGACTCTTGGCAGATGTCCTAAAAACCAAATAATGTGCCCATAAAGACTGACACGCATACTCATTAACATCGTCACTGTCGCTAGTCCTGGCTATCATCGAACACCCGGAAGTTGTGTCATCTTCATAACCAGCATGTACACCGACAGCATTTTGTGCTGATACGTAAGCTACTTCATATCCCAGTCATCGAAGTCAACATCACAAGTCAATTAGAAAAAGGCCGCATCTTTTCGTCAAAGGGCTGACAAAAGTGCACTCAGGAACGTACGGAGGGTAGTTTGTGTATTGCCGTGGCCAACAGCCCTTGATTCTGTGGCGCAAGAAGCGTTTTTTATTGGTCGCAGGTTGTGATGGTTTCAGTTCATTGTTTACGACGGCTTACATTTTTTAGACGGGGAGTTCAAACGTGTCATGTTTCTTCTTACTCTCGCTATGGAAGGAAACATTACGCTGTAACGTTGCAAACTGACAACTTGGTCCATCTCAAGGGCGCGAGGAAGTTGGATCTAACGAAGCGAAGACCCCACATTTCCACGCCTTTCAGATGACCGGCAAGTAACATGGATCCGCGCCGTGACAGAATAGCGCTGTCCTCCAAAGCCAGAACCGGGCGAACAAGCATCCCACGTACCATAAGGTCGCCCAGAACTACACCCAAACTGGTGAGAACTCTTCCCAAGTCCATTTCTGCACGTAGCCGCTCCCCACCGCAGTGTCCATGTGCGCAGCCAACAGCCGTACCCAGCACAAGCCTGGCGCAAAGCGTTACGCGCCGCACCGTAGGCGGACAAGCGTCAGCGGCCCAGGCGTGAGCGCCGGGCAGGGTGTCAGTGCTCACCGTTCCGGTTGGCCTTGGTGGCGTGCGCCACGAGCGCGTCGATCGGTCCGCCGCGCAGCTCGGGCCCCTCCTCGTGCGACTGCTTCACCACCAGCAGCGTCTGCACGTCCAGCGCGTCCAGCGCAGACTCTGGCAAGGCCGGCGGCGGCAGAGAAGGCGGCGGTGGCGGTGGCGGTGGTGGCGGAGGTGGCGGCGGCGGCGGCGGCGGCGGCGGCGGCGGCGGCGGCGGCGGCGGCGGCGGAGGCGGCGGCGGCGGCGGCGGCGGAGGCGGCGGAGGCGCAGCGACGGTCCGCCTGAGGGCATGCCGACGAGGTACACACAGACGCACACACAGGTGAACAGCGCGCCGGGTGCACTGCTCCACAGCCGGCTTCACACCAGTGAAGCAGTCCTGCTCTGCCTGACACCAGCCACATTTTCAGTCTAACACAACACTCACTCAACTATTCCCACAACGCGTGCTCCACGCGGTCGAAAGGGCAGCCCCCCTGAGCCGGCCAGTAACCTGCGTCCGCACCAGGCGCTCTCGCAGCACCCGCCGGTTGGCACTCACGCTAGCGGCGCGACGTGGGCCGAGGGCCGTCCGTGCACCGGCAGCGGCTGGAGACCGGCGGCCGGCGGCGGCGACTCGGCCGGCGGCGGCGGCGAACTTAGCTGACGCGACACGCTGCCGGAGCGCCGCTTGGGCGGCAGCGCCGGTGGCGAGAGGTCCTCCACCAGCGGTCTGTGGGAACCAGCCGAACCACGGTCTGCGGGCGGGGCCGGTGGCGCACAAGGCTCGGTACCTACCGCCCCCGGTCTGCAGAGAGCGGGCAGACGGCGGGCAGATCCCGCCGACCGAAAGCCACGCCAGCCGAGCGCAGTGGCAGCGTTGACGCCAGCAGGTACCACAAGAAGGTCCTCAGGTTATACGTTCCGCACGAATTTCCATTCCAGCATTTCCTTCACCAAGAACGGGACCCGAAATAAGAGGCTGTGAGCGAATCACTGAATCAAATGCAACACCATAATAAGGCAGCACATATTAAATTACCAGACGGGCATAACCAGCGAAGCCCGCCTCTGACCCGACCAACACTAACCTGCAGTGTAGCATCTGCCTGTTGCTACAGCAGTCACCATCACTCGCCAGCACGTTGGCACGTTGGACCGGCCGACCAGGTAGCCAGCCAGCCAGCCAGCCCGCCAGCGTCGCGCGTCCCGCCCTCCCATCTCCGGCAGTACCCTGTGCGCCCCGGCGCCGCGCGCGCCACTCACGTGTGCTCGAACGCCTCGCCGTCGCCGCTGTCGTCGCTGCTGGAGCGCAGGTGCTCGGCCATGGTACAGCTGCGCGCCGCCGAGAACTCGCTGCGCGACCAGCGGGCCGCGTAGCTGCGGTGTACGAGCGCCGACTGGCGCAGGAACTCGGCCTGCGACGGCTGACAGTAGTCGCCGATCATCTCCATGTATGACTGGACTGCGGCACGGACGGCGAGCCGGCGTCAGAGGCTGCCAGGCCGGTCGAGCGCGACACTGACACACCCGCACGAGAACAGCGTGGTGTTTACCGCTGCGACGGAGCGCGCGCGCGCGCGCACTGTCATGCATGACTCACCGTCCGGCCACCGTACCCCGCTATCGTCCCGCGCCCCGCATGCGCTGCGCCTCCTCGCAGCCGCGGCGCCCCGTCGCTTCACAGGCGAGGGCGGCGCCGCCGGATCATGGCCACAGCGGAGACGGCAGTCAGTCCGCTCTCAAGTAACGCCCCTTTCTACGGCACTGTTGTGATGTGTGCTCCCCCTCCCCCTTCTCTCGCCGACGATTGCCCGCCGACGATTGCCACCAGACAACGGTGCCGGCTGGTGCGCGCAAGCGAGCGACATGTTGATTTTCTGAGCTTGGCGCTCCTACTTACAGAGCTGCCAAAGAAACGGCCAAAATGTAAAAAGACCACTCTCTTCTTGCGTCATCTAATAGGATATGACCTTTTCTGTTATGTTCTGTCGTCATGACGAGGCAAAAATAATGCTCTAAGGCGGGAGCCGTTTGATGGCGCGAACATAAGCAGTTGGTCGATGAACATGCGAGGTGATTCGATACTGCGTACCTCCAAACTGAGAAAATGTATGATTACTTCGCTAAGTTTACCGCGATTTGTTATCGAGTGAATAGGACCATGTACAAGACACCTTGTCATACGCAGGTGGCTTTCGTGCCAGGCCACGATACAGAGTGATCCATTGTCCTTGTGGACATGTGACAGCTGTACGTGTATGCGAAAGCGCCGTGGCGTACCGTGTTTCTTCTTGAGCGGTAGCGGCGGTGGCCGCGAGTCGTCCGGCTGGTCGCGGTGACGGCGTCCCCGCAGCACCACGCCGTCCAGGCTGCAGCTGCCGCTCACACCCGACGGCAGGTTGTCGTAATGGCCGAGGGGCGGGCCGCGCGCCGGCCGCCGCTTGGGCGGCAGCGCTGGCGGCACGCTCAGCGTCACCGTGTGCTCGGCAGCGCGCGCCGGCGCCGTCGCCTGCTGCGGGCTGGCGGTCGGCACCGGCGCCCGCCCACCGCCGCCGGCGCCGCCCGACTGCAGACTCTGCAGCGAGACGAAGCCACTCTCCGGCCGCTGGCCGGCCGGCTCGGGCGCAGCGCTCAGTTCGCGCAGCTGCCGCGTGATGGCGTTGATGTCGGGCCGGCGGCCGGCGGCACCGGGCGAAGACAGCCAGTTGCCGTACTGGTCGAGTCCCAGCGTCGAGAACGACGAGTCGGAGGTGGTCGAGTCAGCCTCGAGGCGCGAGTCGCGCGTCGAGCTGCCCGACGAGTTGCCGATACTGCTGTAGCTGCCGTGCTTATTCCACTGCGCGAACTCCTCCTGTCGACGCGTGGCGTTGGGTCAGGGCACGTACAGGATGGCCGTTTCAATGTTCAGCACAGCAGACTACCAGCCCGAGAACGCGCGATGTTTTGCCCGACCGGCATGAGACGGTCAACTGGCCACTGCCTAATGAGGATTAACCAGGCTCAGTTCGACGGTGTCCTGGCATTGTACGACACGACCAGAGCCTTCCGCGGTCCCGGCAGCCTCACAAGGCCAGGCGCAAATTCCGCCCGATAATCCGTTACCGCCATTCGTTGCACCTAAGGCATTCATTACGCGGAAGATTCACAGTGTGCACTGCACACTCCACTTGCCATCTGCTCCAAGTCGAAAGGCCTGCGTCAAAATCACGCAGCGCACACGCTTCACAAGTGCCTAACGCCGCAACCGGCGCCGCGGCAGGCCCGCACCTGCGAGTGGTTCAGCACCGAGTCGACACTGGAGGCAGGCGACAGAGTGTCAGGTGACTTGTTGGTCACCCACGACTTTCCGGCGCCGCTGCCCACCGAGTTGTTTCGCCGCTGGCCGGCCGGCTGCTGGCCGTGCTGCGAGCCGCGCTGGGCCTGGCCGTCCCAGCTGCCGCGCTTGGCCAGCTGCCGGGCACGGTCGCCGCGTTACTCACACTGGACACTGACGCAAGCTTCACCCAGCCATGCCTTCAGACGCTTCGCGACGCGAGCGCCGCCGACAGCAGGCCCAGCGGGCCCCCAGCTGGAGTCGGAGTGGCTGACCGTCGCCGACGGCAGGCCCGGCAGGCACTCGGCTCGAGTCGGAGCGGCTGAGCGCCACCGACGGCAGGCCCGGCAGGCACTCGGCTCGAGTCGGAGCGGCTGAGCGCCACCGACGGCAGGCCCGGCGGGCACTCGGCTCGAGTCGGAGCGGCTGCGAGCCACCGACGGCAGACCCGGCGGGCACTCGGCTCGAGTCGGAGTGGCTGAAAAGCTGCTCAATTTTCGACTGAGTGCCGCTCACACGCATTCAGAACTCGAGACCAAGTGCGCCTGAAAGTGCAGATGGGATTCCTCACAACAAAAGTAGTCCTACGGCTCGCATCAAGCGGTCCTCATCAGCCGTCTACACGGCGACGGTCCTCCCTACGCAGGAAGCCCCGGTGGCGCTGCCGGCCGTATCGCCCACACGCCCCTGGCGGCTGGGACACGCACCTGTCCGCTGACCGGCGTGGAGGTGACTAGAGGCAGCGCGTGCTTCTTGGAGCGCCGCTTGGGCGGCAACGGTGGCGCCGGCTCGGGCGCGTCCGAGAGCGAGGCCGGCCGGCCGGGCAGCGGTGGCTTGGGCGGTGGCGTGTCGGCCGCCTCCAGCACGCTGTCGTTGCTCAGCGAGTAGTGCGGCCCGCAGTGCACGATGGCCGGCTTCTCGGCGCTCAGGTCCGGCAGAGAGTTGCGGTGCGAGCCGGCGGCGGCGTGCGCGCGCGAGCGCCGCTCCGCCCGGTCGACGGTACGGCTGTGGCGCGCCAGGTCGCCGGCACCGTCCCCCGCCAGCTGCAGCAGCGTCTGGCGGCGGCGGCACGCGGATCACCAGGAGCAGGCACACGGCCACGGCGCAGCAGGGAGGGGCGGCGCTACTGACCGAAGCAACGTGGCTTCAAACTCGGGCAGCCATCACCAAAAATACAAGCTTTCGGTACAGAGCGGACTCAGTCCAATCGCTATGCATGATATTCATCAAATGCAGTGACACCACACTCCTGGCCACTTCAGTAGATAATCCGATTACGACGTGAAAGGTCCGAAAAAAGTGCAGTCATCCTCCACAAATACGGGTCTCAGAACGTGCGTTGTGATAAGCGTTGTTTGATACTTGGGCGCGCGGCCAGGCGCGGCCAGGCGCCTGACCTCAGCCTCATCACGCCCGGTGCTCGACAGGTCTGACCACTGCCGGCGGTAGAGCCGCGCACAACCCACGCACCAATCACCTCTAACGAACGAAACGTCTCCCCGTAAACCGAGTCAGCGAACAGCAGGCATCTAGTTGCACATCATACCAATCACTGCGTACGTATTTCAGGATTAGTGCCACCTTTCAGGACCAAACTTAGCTGCGTATATACTTGTCCAGATTTGGCTCATCCGATCAGATTGCGGGCAAACTTCATTGATAGTGCATTGTAACAAGGTTGTAATAAATAATTTCAAGGAAAATACGTTACAAAAGTAATTACAATCTTACTGACCACGATGGACGGGGGCATAATACGGGTTTAAAAGCATGGACGAAGGCACAACAAGGGATATGACATAGCTTAAAATTCCGTATGTCCAATGCGATATTCGAATTTCATTATTGATGCATCGCGTGACCCTAGTTGGAATCAGCCTAACAGATATGTACACCTACCAAAATGATTCGAGATGATTGTCTAGTGCTGTACGTAGCGTTGCCGGAGCCTTCCATACTCACAATAAAACACGAATGCATTGCTAATATCACTCAGCGTGCCACATTCTGAATCATACCTGGCCGCATTCTGATATCATACCTGACAATACATGCACACGCCCGCGTATTATAACACGTTTCATGGTGACCTCCAAAGGTGGCACTCTCCTTTTGATACAAATTAAATTCGCAAGAACCTCACACAATTCTATAACCCAACCTGTTAGCTCTGAGCCACATACCCCATGATGTGACAACAATCATTTTTTTTTTTAAGAGGAGCAGGATAATAAAGCACACACAAAGGCCGATGTGTCGCCAGGTTAGGCTGTTGTGGCCAGCATGTGAACGGTAGTGATCACGTATTTCAGTGCAAAGTTGTCCTTCCGGTCAGCTGATAGCGCTTATCGACGAACTTTATCGCAGCGGGTCAAGATAAGCCTGCACAACCAGCACACGCGTGAGTCTTATCTCATTACTGACCGCACACTACTAGGCAATTGACAAATGCGAGGGAAACCGATCAGCTGTCGGACTGCCAGATCCGTCCCAACAGTTGACTGTTGCGAGGCAATGACAAAAACGTCCGAGTTGTTTCTGCTGCAGCATTAAACGGCTGATGCTAATCGAACAGCACTACTGCAATGTAGCCGAGCTGGGCTACGGAGGTCTGGCTGTAACGGATCCAGCCATGTGGCAAACACGTGATACATCACATCAAGTATAACGGATCCTAAGCGACAGCCCTGATCATGGCTCTCGCCGCTAACCACAAACATTCCATTTAAACCGCTGAAGATACGGGAGTTGTGCAATACAAATGCTTTCGAGCATTTGTACAGTTCGACAGTTCGAGCAATACAAATGCTTTCAAATCCATTTTCCCTAGAACAATAAGAAAATGCTAATAAAAACAGCTTTTCCATTCTAATCACTCCCGAATAGTGAGACCATAATACGCTTGCGGTTTCCTTCTGCCTTAACGCTTTGGCCAAGACATTTCCATGACTGAAGGACTACCACTGCGTACTTGTCCCTCATGGGCCCGCGTTGAACACAAAACATTTTGAAATTAAGAGCGGTCGTAAAGTGGTTGATGAGAACAAGTCATTGCAGTTCTTTCAAGATCTGGGCTTGGAAATATTTTGTTCTGTGTTTTCTAAGCCTTAAGACAAGTGTGCAGTCATATCCAATGAACAAACCCTAACGCCAGCGTGCTACAGTTAATAGAATACAGCAAGATTTCGACACCTCACATCGCCACATCCACTACACCCCGGACGGGACGTTACGGCCAGCACAGCAGGCAAACTGCACCGGCTATGATCGCCATTAGTGCTTCCCAGGCAATAAACAAGTAGCAGCCACACAACAACCCATTTAGTTAATAAGCCAAAACTAAAGAGAACACAACCGCCACCACAACCAACACTATGGCCTCTACGCCTCACGACCTGCCACATACCGCAACCCGCCCAACCGGCGGCAGACCCGTGCCCAGTTCTCAACAGTCTATCCTGTCCCAGACCGCGGTCCCGACTAACGGGCGGCAGACCCGTGCCCAGTTCTGAACAGCCTGTCCTGACATAGACCGCGGTCCCGACCAACCGGCGGCAGACCCGTGCCCAGTTCTCAACAGCCTGTCCTGTCCCCGACCGCGGCCCCGACTACGTCAGACAGGGCGCCTCCGTTCCCTGGCGCGCCGGGAACTGACCGACACGGCGTTTCTGACGCCGTTGACGACGTCGGCGGCCGTCTGCCCGGGCGTCAGGCCGAACAGCATGACGTTGTTGGACCAGCTGACGAGGTCGGCCAGCGCCTGGTTTAGCTGCTTTGTGGCTGCCGACGCCGAACTGTCGCAGAGAAGGTGCCAGCGTCAGACGCGTCAAAAGCGAACGCACAAGGTCAGACAGGCCAACGGAGACGGAGCACAGAGCACAGACGAATCACACATATAGGGCCGCATAGAAAATTGCGAAAAAGAGATAACAGACAGGAGGGTCGCTAAAAGGTGGTGATACAGAGAGCGGGAGAGAAGAAAGAGGACGGGATCACCGTTCAACCAATCACTGTCCCGCGAGAAGAAGCCACCGCGGTGTCATGGTTTGCGTCGGGGTCGCGATTGGTGGCCGTCTAATTTGTCCGACAGCACTGGCAGCATCCGAGCAGGGGGGGGGGGGGGGGAGGGGCAGTGACCGGCACAATCAGAGTTCACGGAAGCCACTGCGGCAGAGTGGCCGCCCCGACGGTACCGTCCCCCTCGATGGTGGCCACTGCGGCAGAGCGGCCGCCCCGACGGTACCGTCCCCCTCGATGGTGGCCACTGCGGCAGAGCGGCCGCCCCGACGGTACCGTCCCCCTCGATGGTGGCCACTGCGGCAGAGCGGCCGCCCCGACGGTACCGTCCCCCTCGATGGTGGCCACTGCGGCAGAGCGGCCGCCCCGACGGTACCGTCCCCCTCGATGGTGGCCACTGCGGCAGAGCGGCCGCCCCGACGGTACCGTCCCCCTCGATGGTGGCCACTGCGGCAGAGCGGCCGCCCCGACGGTACCGTCCCCCTCGATGGTGGCCACTGCGGCAGAGTGGCCGCCCCGACGGTACCGTCCCCCTCGATGGTGGACAGCCGCGAGCCACCGACCGCCCTCTTCCCGGCACCGGCACACTTCTGCTCGGCAGCCGGCCCGAACCGCCGAGCAGACTCAGCCGGGCCGCGCCGCGCAGCCGCCAGCGCCGCGGCATGGAGTGCGTGCGAGTGCCAGCCGGCCCGACTGTCATCCTGGAGCCGCCGGACCGCTCGGCTCGCTCCTCAGCGCGCCGGTTGCCGGCCGAGCGCCGGCGGCCCGATATCCACGCCTGCCGCGTCTGCGACGGGTCGCCTGTCCGCGCGTGACCACATCTCACGCCCGGCGCCGCTCAACGTTCGCACGCGCCACGCTCGCGTTCGTAATGGACCAGCTCTCGGCGCAAATCAAGCCGAATGAACTGGCCCGATTCGGCAGCCGTAAAACAGTCGGCGCTCCGACCGGCCCCGTCCCGCCGCCGCCGCCGTTCATCCGCCAGCTGACGGCGCCGCTCAGCTGACCACTGCGGCGGCGCGCGGCACCGACGCCCCGCTCACGCGAGCCAGGCGCCGCGGCCGCCGTCGCACGGCCGCGGCGCGGCCCGCGTACCCGATGCAAACGCGGCACCCACGTGCGATCGCGCCGCCACGGCCCGACCTAGCGCCGAAGCGCAGCGCGTTTCAGTGGTGAAAGCGGCGTGGACGGAGCGCCGAGTGCGGAAACGGCGCGGCCAGCGCAGGGAAAGTGGTGGCGCCGGACGGGCCGAGCTCGCATTCAAGGCCGGGCCGCGCCGACCGAGAGCAGCCGCCGAGCGCCGGCTGGCCAAGGTGACCAGCAGCCCTTCAGCCGGCATTGTGTCGCGTCGGCTGTGCTGCGTCGGCACACTGTGGCCACTCTCACTGCAGCGCGAGATGACGCAAAACTGAGAACACCGACGCGTGTGGTACTCACGGGCAGACAAACGCACCACTCATGATTGAGGTGGGAATGCAGCCCTTGCTCGAGGTGCACATCCTTCACGCATGTCTGCCGTGGCGTTATGGCGACAGTGCCGCACGCCTGCCCCGTGAGCATGCGTCATGACAGCGTGGCCAGCCTACCGCCCACCCGCCAGCCGGGACTCACCTGCTCTCGCCACCGAGCCGGTTCATCAGGATCATGTGCAGGTGGACGACCGTCTCCAGCACGGCCGTCGTGCTGCCCGGCAGCATCTCCAGCATGCTCTTCTGCACCACGTCCTGGTAATACCTCAACGACAGCTCCACCTGCCGAGGCCGGCGCGCAGTTAGGCCGGGTCACCAGGCGTCACACGACTCCAATGGTGGGTGTCATCAAGAGGCTATTCGAGTGCCTTCACAACGTGCTTGAACACAGTCGCCTGCCAGTTCGACAGCGGTGAGAGGATGACCAGGGTGGAGCATCATCACCGTGGACATCACCGGTGATGAGCTGCGCCGTTGGAATGAGTTAAATGCCTGCTCTGAAAGGAGTGCCAATAAAACGCGAACAATCATCGAAACCTCGTAAGACTTTGGCGGTACAAACCTGGGTCAGATGTCGCCATAAACTAACCCACAGTCTTAGACTGGTTTCCCAGGGAGATGCGAAGCAAACCACCCAGCAATTGATACCATGACCACCCGCATGCCACTGACAGCTGTCGGTGGGCGGAGATCACATCGAGCCCGGACGCCGATGGCATGCTCCCACCGAAACAAAGTGGACGGAGGTCACTAGAATCAACGTCAATTGTATTCTCCGTGCTCTACCTCGAACACCACACAACTAGGAAGCAGCCAGAAGCCAACCCGAACCCACGAATCAAGTCATATCTCTGCAAAGTCAGGGAGCCAACATGACCCTCCGGCAGTCAAGCGACGCCTCGGCTTTCGCCGCCTACATGCTGGAGAACTCCGGAAGCGCCAGCTGAAAAAGCCCGCTCCGCCGCGCACGCGCGTCGCTAACGGTTGCGCGGCTCGACGCGTCATCTCTGGCCGGCGCGCCCCTTCTTATGCGCGGAGTGCCGTGCGCGAAGCCGGCACTGTTGTTGACGGCGGTGGGCTGGTGAGCTGAGCCGGCTCGCAGCCGTGCGGCTGGCGGCCGGCGGCGGGCCAAGCCGGCAGGCAGCCTGACCCGCGGCCAGAACGGCGGCCAAGCGGCGACCCACGTGAGACGATGATCGGCCAGGCGGAGTGCAAGGAGCACGGGCCGCGCCGGGGTCCGCGACGCTCAGCGGGGATGGTGCTCCGAGGCCGCACGAGCGTCCCGCCGGTGCGGCGCGGCTGCCTGCCAACGGTCGGCCGGTGGGCCCGGTCTGTCGCTTCACCGCGCCGCCGCCGCCGCCGCCGCCACCGCTACCGCCTCACCAGCCGGGATGCTCCGGCGCCGTACGGCGCTGCCCGGGCACCTATTGAGCGGCGTGGCGGCCGTGTCATTAGGCGGGCGGCCGCGACCCCGGGGTGTCGGCCGCTCGGCGGGGGACCGCGCTATTACGGTCACAGATGGCGGCCACAGCGCAACCAGCGCCGGAGCCGCACCGACCAGGTGCGCCAAGACACCCCGCTAAGGCGACACACACATGGAGCGAGACGCGCCACGGCCGCCACCAGCCCAGGCACGGTCAGGCACGGCACACAAGATAGCAGGCCTGGGGATAGGAAGACGGCGAGGGAGACGTCAGGTCCTCGACAAGTTAACGAAAGACGTCAACAATGGCGACGGTGACACGTGGAGTTTGGTGATATTTTTGTCTCGGTCGGTTCGCTGCTTTGGGGTAAGACTACTTCTGTCACTACACGGCGGATATTGACAGAAGTCGTAGAGAGAGATCAGGGCAGACGCGGCCACGAGTAACTCCAACTTGGAACTTGGATTTTGTGGAAACTCCGCATCCCCAAAACTCGCGTTGCTTGCTACAATTGAAAGACATGAACAGAGGATCACTTACAGGAGCGGCTACTCAAGCATTGTGCTATCTTTTGCATGCATTATTTCGTTATGAATTGTGCGCAACTTCTCCAGCATGCCCATGTTACGAAGGACGCCGTGACTTCGATTGGTGGTGTTATTCTCTCCAATGGTTCGATTTATTGGGATTCGTATAGCACATATCGTGCCAGAGATCCTATCAGATCGCGCGTGATCGATTCTAACTTTTGCATTGAACATTTACGCTATCGTGCTGATATGAGGCCTCCTTCGTTTCGTGTCATTACCACGGGAAGCATGGCTTTCGGATCCGCGGAGTGGCGGACAGCACAACATGCGGTACCTACAGCGTTGCACTTCCTCATAACCGTCGGAAATTTACGATCAAATCCTACTAAATCGAAAGTTATGCGCAAGCAGCGCAAGCTTCATCTTAATTCATTGGTTCACTGATAAAGAAAAAGACAAAATATATCTCACGAGTGGAATGGTGTGACGAACGGCAGGCCACAGCAGTCCGATAACTACACTAGGCAGCGCCCTCGACACTTCTCAGAAAGTCGTCACGATAGATACTTCAGTGGTGGCGTGGGCCGCCGCGGCCGCTACTGTCGCCCTGACAGCCCAGCAGCTCCACTGAGCGATACACCGACAGCCGAGGGAGACGTGCGGCCCATGGGTGCCGGTGGAGGCGCGCCGGCCTCGGTGCTGCCCCGTCCGCCGCTCGGCCGTCGGCGGCGCGCTAGCTCGGAGCACAGGGCACGACTGCAGCCAGGCCCAGGCAGGGGGAGCTGCGGCCGCCCGGCGCGGCCACAGAGCCTCCCAACCAGGCGGTCGCACTGCACGGCGTCAGGAACGAAGGGACGAGGAGCGGAGTCACGCACGATCGCTGACAGCTCGCGCACCGTGTCCGTGGGCCCGTGTGGTGTGGCTGGGGACACGGCACGACCGTCAGCGGCGCGCGACGACGACGGAGAGCGACGGGAGTGACGTGTGCACCGCCGGTTCTGTGACCGCCGCGCGTGCACCTCAGCACGTGCCGGCGCACCCGCGCACTGTCCCGTGCCGAGCTCAGAGACCACGTGCGCAGAGGGGGAGGGGGGGGGGGGGCGAACCCGGGCCGGTCTCCTCGAGCCGGGACATGGGCCCGTCCGCACCCTACAGGTCGTGACCCCGGGTGGCCACAGCGCGACCTCGCCCGAAAACGGTGGACGTCCGACACCTGACAACGCTAACCGGCGCGGCAGGGTCAGCGCTGTTGTCACAACATCCTGCACGCCGAGCATAACCTGAATCAAGTCCCTGCAGCGTGCCAACGTCGACGGCATCGTCAGCCCGTCAGCTGGACGGGCCCGTCACACGGGTCGCCTGCATCCGTCGTCATCGGTCAATACGTCACGCATCAGACGGCGCGGTCGACCACGTTCGAAGCACCGCATTTCCCACCACTTGTCGAAGCGAGACCCGCATGGACACAAAAGCCCACCGTCACTCCTCACAAAGGCGAGCTTCTTTGGCGGTGGCAGGCGAACGGCGCCATACGACTGCACTCCGCCCACCCCGCGCCGGGCCAACGGCGTTCTCCCCCGGGACGGCGCAAAGGTCAGCCCCGGCGCGCGGCAGATGGCAAGCACAGCACGCAAGCGGCCGAGTGAACTTCAGCGCGGCAAGTCCCAGCGTTCACAGAGCGAGTCATGTTTGTCTACAACCGGGAACGTACCCAGGGAGCCAGCGCTGATTAGCTGGAATTGATGCGCACGCCGGCAACGCCAACAGCCTCCAGCATGCGGCGTTGGACGGCACAATAGAAGACAGTCTTCTGAAGCTGGGTGATTACCTCTCAGTTCTAGCGAGACGTCTTGAGCGACCCCACGGCGAGTGTGGGCTGCAGAGCGTAGGCAAAGGAGCCCAGTGCTGGGCTAATTAGAGCCAGCGTCGCATTGACTCAACGCATCGAGTCAGGTGTAATGACGCACACCGACAACGCGACCGAGGCCCGAGACAGCCTTCGCGGATCGGCGGATCGGCGGATCAAATCGGTCTGAGCGATTTCAGGACGTAGAACTAATGTATCTTTTCAAGACTGTCCCCCGTGGCGCAAAAATACAGTCGCTTATCAGGACTGACACAAGACGCAGAGCGTAGCCACCGAACCGACCACCGGACACTGGACTGACGTCCCCGCTCAAGGCCGACCTCCCGACCCCGAGTCGACATCTCGACCTCGGATGGACACGGCCACTTGGGAGGGAGTTCACCACTGACCTCTCGGCAGATGGTCCCGAAGTCCGGGCTCGGCGACGCCCGGTGGTCGGGCGAGAAGTCCCGGCGGCGGTGCTTCGGTGACTTGCCGCTCCTCTTCGCTGAAAAAAACAACACAAGCCCGCCGTCAGTGAAACGTCGGCGACGAAACAGCGCGTCTTACGTCTGGAATCGGGCAAGAAGTAACCATTCACCGCAACTTTACGGGCATGACCTCCACAAAGTGGCAAAACACAACAAACCTTAATGTGTTCTGCGTCAAAAACGGCATAATTCGGCCATTCGGCGCGCCCGCACCAGGACAAAACACGGCCCCGCTGCCAACCGCGACATCCAGCCGCCACACGTGACGCCACGGACAGAGGCCCGTGCCAGCGGCACACCGCAGTGCAGCCGCACGCCGCCGGCGTCAGCCAAGTCACGGGGGCGAAACCTTTGGTGCCCGGCGGGCAGACGGCCGACGGCGGCCTGCCGCACCGTCGCCGGCGGGGGCCGGACGCGGTGCGGGCCAGCAGCACTGACCTGTGACGGGCGAGACGGCCGCGCGTCTCTGCCCGGCCAGCTGCTGTGTTGACATGTGCGGTCCTCACACACGCAGGCTCGGCCCCAGGCGCCAGCAACGTGTCCATGGCCAGCATACACCCCTGTGTCCCTGATTCATCAGCAGCGAGATGGCTCAGCTGGGAGGGTACTCGAATGCCACGTGGTTATACCGGATTTGATTCGCCGCCGACGACATGGCCTGCTCCCATGGCGTATCGTAAGACCCCTGTGACCACCAGCTTTCCGTAAGTGATGACACGGCGACGAACGTCATGCAAACTTTAAGTCAGCACCGCCTCATCGTCACAAGCTACAATGTAGATCCTCGATGATACGACCACCTGGCTGCACTGATTCGGACGTTCCGGCATCGTCATGAATGAGCGTGCGGGCCAACCGGCAGGGGGGCGAGCTGTTGTAAATCGGCAAACATTCCTCTCCACCACCGACTTCAGTCTGCTCAACGGGCGGAGATGGTCAAACAAGGAGGACAGGGAAGGGGGGGAGGGGGGGCTGGGGGCGTCCCGGTCTGAGACGCGACTGGGTGCGAGGATCACGACGGCGCGGTCCGTCCAGAAAGATGGCTGCTGGGCGGTCAGCCCGGCAGACGCTGCCAGGCCGGATTCCGGAAGACTCTGTCGGCCTCCGGTGGACCGACGGGCGGTGGCGGGTGCTGGGCAGCCCGAGGTCGAGCCTCCCGTCACGCTCGTCTACAACGCCATTGCCCTCAGGTGAGTCTCCGAGACCGCAATCCGTCGAGAGTGAACAGCGCGCCGAATAGGCTCCGGCCGCGGTTGAATGGTTCACTTTCCAGCGGGCCCGGGCCACGCCCCTCTGAGCTGGACGCTTCCGCAGCCGGCGGCGCCAAGCCAACCAAACGCACGCCCGACAGCCGCAGCACGGGGGAGGCGGTCACGTACGCTCAACAGGGAGGCAATCACCACCGGAAATCGAAAGCAGCCGTCGGGAATTTCACGCCGTCAGATCACGGGCGGCCGGCAGCACTCGGCACGTGTGCAGTGGGTTTTGCAGTTACTAGGTGTAACGACTTCGAGCATGACTCGACGAATGCAGGTCAAAGGCACCAGTTACGAAATTCGGCCTGTCGCCGGGCGACACAGGACCTCGTCAAACATCACGCCGGTTCAGCTACTCAAACTGCTTCTTAAACCACTGGCTGATACCCCTGTGGTGGAAATGGTCAAAAGTCTTTGCTGGAGCTCCTGGTAGCATCTTAAGACCGCAGGTACTCTACTGACATACTTCACAAGCCGAACTGCATTCCCACGGCAGTTACAACAAACAGCAGCGCACAGGGTCAGGTCGAGCCGAACGCTTGACGCCAGCGTCTCCGCCCTCCCGCCCGCCCGCCGTGGCACCGAGCTGGCGACGCTGGCGAGCTGGCGACGCTCGCGCGCGGACCGGCCTGGCCGGTCCGCGCGCGGGGCGGCATGCGGCTCCCGGCGGACCCGGGCACGGACCTGGGCGCGCCAACAAACGTCCCTGGCGACACGGCGCCGCCGGTCCGCGAGCTCGGCCAGCCCGGTTGGCTTTGAGAGGCGCCTGCTCCAGCCGACTGGGACAGGCCGGGGCTGGCTGTTGGCGGCAGGCGGCCGAGGCCCAGCGTACTCAAGCAGAGCACTCCAATCTCCTCCCGTCGCTGCGCCCACCGCAAACGTGTGATAATGACGTCACAGCACACGACCGATGACGTCACGCGGTGCGCCTACAATGACGCGCGTCTCCGCGTCACAGTGCACACCTGCTGGCCCGTCACGTGTTAGCGCAGAGGTCAGGCGTCAGCCCCACACCGCTGCAAACGCTCTCTTCCGGTCACCCCCGACGAGCCTCCCCTCGCCCATTGAAGACGATGCACAGCGACCTTACACGAGCCTATGCCGGTTCCGGATGTCCGCTGACCCCTCGTTTAGCACATCGTCGCCACCGGCCTCCCGTCCATCTGATACCGACTTGATTCGTGCCGGCCTCGCCTTGACCTCCAGCCACCATCGCCCTCAGGCTGTCAGCGGCCAGATGCAAACGGCGGCGGATCGACCGCTGGCTCAAGACTCCCGAGTTGGAGTGCCGCGAGTTCCGTTCAGCATCTCATCGGCATTATCGCGACACCGTGCGAGTCAGCGACGAAGCGACATCCAGCCCACGCATTGCACAGTCACATTTACATGACATGACGACCATCTCCATCACGTCATCGACAGGCAACCCCGAACAATCTGCTGGGCTGGGCTCTGCTGGGCCCTGCTGGGGAGGGGAGGGGCGGAGGTCGCCGCCCCGGTCTCGACGCTACATCCGTGAATGCGCGCGGCTGCGACCTTTGCCACGCAGCCGGCGGGCCTGCCCGCTATTGACCGCCGCTCGTCCGTCGATGGGGGTGGAGCGTGCCGGCGGCGGTAAAGGTCACGGCGCCGACCGGCGCGCAACCCACCTCCGCCGGTCCCGGGGACCTCCCGACGCCGTCGCTCACGAGTGGAAGCGCCGGGCCGACCTACTACGGCCGCCGCCGCGCACCGCTCCCACCTCCCACATCTTCCGAGTCGCGGCAACGGGTGCCGACTGGAGGCCGTCACCAGCGGGCGGCCGTGCAGCGGAGCCGGAGGCCCGGCCGGCCCCGGGCCGGGTCCACGAACTCCGCGCAGACCCCGGTCGACGGCGCCTGGCGGCTGCGAGCCCACGACCGAGCGGGTCGGGAGACCGGACGCTGCCTCCGGCTGCCTCAACGGCCGCAGTGATCTTCGGTGGCGTCTGGACGCAGAGACGCGCTGGAACGGTCGAAGGCCAGAAACAAGCGGGCTATGTGGTGGACAGCGTCTGCGTTTGGAAGGGCTCCCGCTGGGCTCTCCGTACGTCTGCGTTTGGAAGGGCTCTCGCTGGGCTCTCCGTAGGTCCCTTCGCCAGCAGTTCACAACGCTGGCCGCGCCAGCTCTGACATCAGTATAAGCCGGACACCGTCCCGCCGTGGCCAGAACCATCGATTTGGAGAGACGGCTCCCGCCGCGGCCAGCACATGGCCCGTCAGGCCGCCGCCCAGGCGCTAGCCACACGGACACGGCGGCATCCGTGCGTGTGTGTGTGTGTCACTGGGGCTTCACGACGCACTCAGCTACTGGGGCTTTGTGGCGTCGCCTGCCTCTCACCCTGGTAGCAAAGTCGGGCACCTCGAGGAGTTGAACTCAGTACCTCTGGTTTTCCAAACGCGCAGTGGTTAACGCAGACGGGTTGATCACCACACTACCGGCATCCCATGGCGGTATCCGTATCCGTGTAGCATGGTCCAAGCCCGGCCCGCAGCCAGAGCCCCAGGCTAGCGGCGCGGCTCCGATCCTGCCGCGGGCGTCGTCGGCCGACCAGCTTGCCCTGCCACGCCACGCGGCCCCAGCTCGCCTCTGTGCAACAGACGGCGGCGGCGCGGCCGCAGCCGGCTAACGGAGCCGGCCCAGGCGGGCGGCTCGGTGGGCCAGCGCGGGACACCCCGGTGCCGACCCACCAGCTGTGCCCCGCCGCCGCTCTGGCGGCGCAGCTGAGGTCGCCGGCCGTGGCCCTGAACGGTCCGCTGACCGGTGGCGCCAGTGGTCACGATCGCCACCGCACGGCCGCCGCCGCGCTAACCGGACGAGCACGGCTTGTGAGCGCCCAGTTACGGCCAGCCCCGGTGTCCCGTCGTGGCGGGTATACTGGAGCCAGATAGCCAACGCCAATGCAAATCAAAAATCACGCGAAGGTGGATGTTTTGCGAAGCAAAGCCATGGCGCCGCCCGGATTAAATCTGATTCATCACGCCAGGACTGTCACGCTTCAGATGCTTCGCGAAATCAAGCGATAATTCGTATAAATATTTTCCCCTCAATTTCCGAGGCCGTCCAATCGGTGTCGGTTCGGATATGATTACCGCCGCCGCCGTAACTCGCCACAGCCGCGACTCGCCACAGCCGCTTGCTTTCCATCTGACGGCGTCAGGCCGACCGACGCGGACTGACCCTCGGAGCCTAGGGGCGGTATCAGGGCGGCGGGGAGCTCCGAGCGGGACTCGAGGCACGCGCACCGATGACGGCCGCGGGTGGGAGGAGCCGCCTCGCGCCGCCAGATGCCACGCTGCGCACGCCAGCTGACACTGGCGGCCGTGCGGTGGCACGACGAAAGCCGTCACGGTGATGACGGACGGGCGCACGCCGGCGACGTGGCGGCCGACGCTGACGCACGGCCTGCGACCGCGACAGCGGCGGCACGTCGGCCTGGAGCGCCGGCATGTCGGGCCCTCCTGCGCGTCCCAGCGCGGTGGCTGCGGCCCAGCGGGGTCTGATAACGCCGCCGGCACAGCCGGATCTCCGATAACCAGCGGCGGCCCAGAATAGCCGGCGCGCCGTGCTGTCGGCCTCTCGGTGGCGTCCGACCGGACAGTCAATAAAACGTCTGTCGATACGGCCGGCGGCCACCGACCTCGCTAGGACGTCAGAGCGCGGCCGCCGCCAACGGTCCGCGCGCGTGCCACCACCGGCGGCCGCGGCCCGTTACGGCCTGCCGGGCGACAGCTGCCGGCCGCGGCGGCCGCCGCGTTCCCACGGCCCTATCGGCGCGGCCGAACCGAGCCGAGGCGCACGCCATGCACCGCAGCCGCCATCAATATTTACACCGAGTTACGCGAAGCACACGACCCCGGCTTCGTACGGCGCGCGCCCGCTCCAGCCGGTGTTCACGCCCTCCGCTAGCGTGCGCGACAGAGGCCGGTCTCCGGCGTGCGCGGCCACGCACGGTCGGCCCGGCGCCCGCCCGCCACGTCAATACGCCGGCTATTAATAGGGCCGGGAAACTGGGCCGGCCGGCCGGCGGCGGCGGCGCGTGATCGCATGCTACCCGCCGCTGTCGGAGACGTATCCTCGGCGGAGAGCCTGCACCGCCGCCGGCCACTCGCAGAAGCCACGGCGGCGGCCGCACCGTGGCCTGCGCGTGGAACGTGAGTCATCCTGGAAGGGTTGGCCGAAGGGGAGGGGCGGCAGCGCCTTCCAATCACCAGCGACCACCGCCGCACGCGACAGCCGGCCGCCACCACCGCGCCGGTGCCTCCCACACGCGGGCAGAGGTGACGTCACCGGCCGCTGAGGAGCCGACCTCGACCGAGCCCAGCCGGTCCGGAGGGCCGGCGGGCAGACGTAAACAGGAGCCGCCGCCGGGCCGCCGCGCCGACCTCGCCCTGCGCCACCGCTCTTAGCTGTATTCACCGGCGCCGATCGCCGGCTGAGATGAATCCTTCACGACACAAACTACTCCCATCCCGCTTCCCGCCATCCAGTGACAAACAATACGGGCAGATTGCGGAGGACCTGGGCAGCCGACCCTGTCGTCCAGTCGCGACCTGTCTTGCCACTTGAACCGAGGGGACGCACCTTGCGTGACGATTACCCTCGCTTCTGACGTCGGTGAACACATCCCCCATTCTGACCTTACCTCACAGAAGACTCGCTCTCATACCGGGGTGCATGTGGGCCGCTGCGCCCCCAGCAAGCGCTTGACACTTGCTGCCACGCGCCACGTGCGCTTACCTGGACTGTGCGAGCGGATGACATGAGGGGTCTTCATGTTGTTGAGTTTCTCCAGCAGGTCCTCCTTGAAAGATCGCGCCCGGCGGGCCAGCCTGTTGTTGGGCCTCGGCTTGGTACCCTCTGAAACACACAGCCGACACGCACCCGGTCAGCGCAGGCTCAACCCACCATGAGCCATATCACACACACGCGCACGCCGCCAGCCTCGGGCGCGCCTTCCCAAACACGCAGCAAAAACACACGCACGCCACGCAAGTCATCAGCCAGCCACGGCTTGTTGGCTTCTAAGGCCCGGAGCCGACACGCACACGGCGTCGGCAGGGGCGCCGGAGGCAGGCGACCCGCCCTCCGTGGGCGTGATCGGAATATTTTACACCGCACCGACCGGCTCCAGTCGTTATCGGAGCCGCCTCCCACGCCGACCGCCCGCGGCGAGGTAAAACGCGCCGACCCACGCCATATCAGCACCAATGCACACCCTCCCAAACCACTCGGCAACCATCCCAGGTGACGCCATTTGTCATGCTTGCTGCTCATCTTTATTCAGCAGACTCAATGGCCGCGGCAAGCGCCCTTTATTAAGAGGCGCAGGTCCCGGCCGCTGGCTCTACCTTCCCGTCATCGAAGTCACAGCTGTACCCACAGCGGGCCTGCCGCCGCGCCGCCCTGCAGAGCGACACCGGCTCCGGCTCCAGCGCCGCCTCCGGCACCGGCTCTGGGCGGCGGCACTTACGGCCGAGTTGCCATTCAACGCTCGCAAGCGGTGACGTCCGGTCATCACGCTGTCCACCCTCAGTCGCTCGCGGTGTCCGTGCCGTACCGTTATCACTGTCCACCCTCCGTCGCTCGCGGTGTCCGTGCCGTGCCGTCATCGCTGCCCCCCTCCGTCGCTCGCGGCGTCCGTGCTGTGCCGTCGTCACTGCCCCCCCCCCCCCTCCGTGGCCCGCGGTGCCCGTGCCGTGGCGTCGTCGACGTGCTCCAGCACGAGCGCCGGCCGATCGGTGCATATGAATCGTCTGCGCCAATCAGCGGTCCAAGATCAGCAGACCAAGCATGCCGTGTCTGCACCGGCGCACGGGGGCGCCAGGCGCCGGTGCAGACAGATCAGTGCGGGGCCAGGTTGCACCAGACTTTAGACCCGCCACCGCCACTGTTGCACAACGCAGAGTGCCGACTTCAGATCGTTCGGGGAGCGCATCGGCATCGGGTCACGTCATTCCCCGGCGTTGCTCCACACAGGGCACCGTCTCTCTGGACGGGCATGACGGCCTCCCGCAGGCGTAAACATATTTTATGACTGCAATCAATTAGCGCCACCGATCTAACCATCGCACCCCGCCATAAACACCCCATAACGTAAGCAGCACGGAACGTACGCGATTGGAGCGGCGGACTGAGCCGCGATGGCGAACAAACAGCCCTGCGGCCGGGAGGCAGCGCACCGGCACCCGTGCAGCGCAGAGGCCGGCCGTGATGTCACCCGGCCGGCGAGGCCTCGTCGCGACCTCCGGGGCCGCTCAGCTGGCAGACGTCGACACCGCGGCCCGCTCGGCGCCGCCAGCTGCTACAGCCGCTGACGCAGGCCCATACTCGCGTGAGTGCGAGTGAGAGCGTCGTTGTCGACCGCGGCCGCCCGCGTCGACCTCTGCGGGCGACGCCCCGCACCGGCGCGCTGACGTCAGCGGCGGTCCGACCGGCTGCGCCGCCCGCGCCGAGAGGCCGTGTCGGCCAGCGCCCAAATAAGGCGGCCGCCGCCGGAGACCGGCCGACCCCGGGCGCCGTAGACCGACCGCCCGGCCACCGTCGCCAAACGGCACTCCTGTTCTCTGCCGCCGCCAAACGGTGCCCCGGCCCGGTCACGCCCCCTAGGCTGCACCAGGCGATATTGTCGCGCACGAAACTGTCGTCTGGGCCCAAAGCGCTCCATAGTTGTCCGGCACCGCTAGCCTAGCTCCTAATATGACCCGTGACGCTCCTTGTCTCGGCTGTCCATTCCTGTCACACATTGGCGCGTCTCCCATGATCTTTCACGAAATAATGCGCACGGGTCCAGACCCCGCCTGCGAAGATGCGCTCCCCCCCCGGTCCACCCCGCGTGCACGAAAGCCGCACGACACTGAGCAACAAGAACGGCGCGCGACCCCGTGAGAGGTCTGATCTCAGGTCCAAGTCGCGCCGCATACATCTCGTCCGCACGCACAGTAAACAGCTTTCTAGCCATCCGCTCTTCGCGGGCGCGTCGCACCGCATCCCAGTCGGTCCGTCCGAGCCCGCGCAGCCAGACGGGGCGTTGCCCCGACACGGCCGTGGCGACGGCGACCCGCCCGCGCCCGCCGCTCACAGGAGCACCGACGACGGACCGTCGGTCGCCGACCGTCGCGCGCAGGCGCCGGCCGCCGGCTCCTTTGTTTGGAGGGCGTGCTCAAACGCTGTTTTCCACCCCAGCTGGCCTGCTTCCACGTCGCGTCGGCAGCGATTCCCGGCTGACGGGTGACGGATGCGTGAGAGTGGGCTCCAAAACCTAGCCGAGTGGAACGTGGTGCGAAATGATTAGCTGTCCGTCAGCGTTGGGCGATACCTGTGATGACTTGGCCCTCCGGGCGGAAGGCAGCCGATCGGTCGTCACTTACACAGGCCAGAAGAGCAGCCGGCTTCTTCAGGTCCTAGCCAACGTCCCACCCCGCCTAGCGGCCCTCCAGCCGCGCCCGTGCGCCACCATCACACACACACACACACACACACACACACACACACACACACACACACACACACACACACACACACACGCACGCACGCACGCACGCACGCACGCACGCACGCACGCACGCGCGCGCGCGCACGCACGCACGCTCGCACGCATACACACACACACACACACACACACACACACACACACACACACACACACACACACACACACACACACCCGGCGGGGCTCGTGCTCACTAACCTGAGGCTGTGCTCCGACCCTAGACCCAGCTGGCGGGGACCGCTCACACGCCCGTCACGCGGCCGCAACCGCATTCACACAGACACACACACACACACACCACGACGCACCGTCGAACGCCGCGCCGCTGCTGCGCGGTCACCGGTGCCGTCTCGCCTGCGCGTCGCTGCTGCCGCGCGGGCGAGCACCACGTCCGGGCACACCCAGCCGGGCCGGCGGCGGCGCCACTCTGGTCGGGCCGGTTGAGTCACACATGAAGCCGCGCGCCGCCCGGCCCGCCATTGGTCGGCGGCGAGGCCCGCGCCATCCGCGACCGTGGCGGGCGCGGACCGGGCCGGGCCGGGCCGGGCAGAGAGGCGGAGCGCCGACAGAGCGGTGGAGCGAGCGGCCAGCCACCGAAATAGCCGGCGACGGGTTGGCGGCGACGCGGAGCGCGAGGTCTGACCGGCCCGGCGGACCACTTCCGAGGGGTCCACCGAGCCCACGGCCGGGCTCCTGCGACGGCCGACCGAGCCCACGGCCGGGCTCCTGCGAAGGCCGACCGAGCCCACGGTCAGGCTCCTGCGAAGGCCGACCGAGCCCACGGCCGGGCTCCTGCGAAGGCCGACCGAGCCCACGGCCGGGCTCCTGCGAAGGCCGGACCTGCACACGTCAAGCCCAGGGCGCACGGATCCCAAGGGTCGTATCGCTGACTGAGATGACCTGCGGCGTCACCCCCGCTGACCGGATCAATGCGGAGACAGTCAATACCCATGCTGACGGACAATGCAGCTCAAATGCTCGTGGACTGCCCGTCCTCCCCGATCAACAGCCGCAGATAGTGAACTCTACGGTTACTCGCGGGATATTTGGCTGGGTTGCTCCCAAACGCCTCCAGCCTGCTCTCTCGGCACAAGCGTTGGCCGCGGCCGCACCAGCGGGGCGAGCGCGATGTGCCGCGGCGCGACGCGCCGGACTGAGGCGCCGCGCGCAGTCACATCCGGCGAGACGGGACTAAACCACGGCGGAGGATGCGCCGCCGGCGGCCCGCCGGCGCATCCTTGAGCGTGACGATGACGCATGATAAACAGAAGTCCGGAGAATGATGAGCGTCGCACCCCCCGCCCCCGCCCCCCACCGCGACCGGAGTCGGCACAGGCGTCACGAGCCGGGTCTACTGTCGGAGACGGGGCCGGCGTTATCACCAGAGCCACCGCTGCCGCCGGAGGCACAGACGGCGCTGAGCTAACTCCGCCGACGCTGCTGCCAGAACCACAGACAGCGCTGAGCTAACGCCGCAGACGGTGCTAATGATACGAGAGCCACCGCCAGAGCCAGCGCTGCGTAAAGAGCCGCCAGATCCGGAGTTAGAGCCAGAGTGAGAACCGGCGCCAGAGCCATGGCCAGCGCCGGGCACGGCCAGTACCGAGCACGAAAGAGCTCGTCTGTTCCCTACCGCCTTGTCGCTTTACGCCTGGACACCTGTGCGGCTTGCGGTGTTAGCTCTGGCTAAGCTCGTTCGAGTGCAGTCTCCCGTCCAGCAGGTGTGCCAGAGGCGGCGTCGGTCGGGACTGACGGAGAGCAGCCAGACCGGCGCGCCGCCCTCAGCCGGGCCGGCGCCAGACGTCAGCCGACTGACGAGGCGCTGTGAAGGGTAATGCGACCGGGGCCGCCGGCGCAGACCGAGAGCAACGAGGCAGGAGCAGGTGGCGCGGCCGACTCGACTGGTGGTAGATCAAGTCCTGACAGCGCGGTGCTGCGTTGTGACCCCGCGCGGCATGACGGCTCCAGTGTGAGACGGGACGGCGCCACGGGGATCTCGGGCCCCCAGACGCCTCTCCCCGGTCCGCCGTGCCAGGGACGGACAGCGCCGCCGCCGCCGCCGCCGCCGCTCGGCGGGGGCGGCGGCGGCGGTCCAGATCTGACCTTCCGTCAGCCGCGTGGCTGACGAGGCAGCCAGCCGCTGCCGGACGACAGGACAGCGGCGAGCGGCGGAGCTCGCCCCTGACCTTGGCCGAGGGTTAGCTCGCGTTAAGACCAAGGTCGGTGACCCAGGTTCGAGTCGGGCTCTTAGCGGCGGCCTTAGCACACTTCTCGCGAGGCTGGCAGCAGCCCCGCGCGCCGGCGCCATGCATGATCCCTGACCCGACGAACTGCCGCGCCGGCCCGGCCTCTGGCACGCCGCCGGTCG